ATTTGACAGAGAATCTCAGCACTGAGCCAACCTTCAAAATGACTGGAACAGCTTCGGTGTTTCGTGCGTTTTTTTTCTGACACTGATCCTTAGCTAAGTTCATAACAAGAGTTGAGCAAGAGGTCAGCCACAATTCTTCAAGAACGACCCCCTCCCCATTTTCTGAAATCCCCGAATGACCACTTTCTGCCTTTTCAGAGAACCTCAGAGTGTGACATTCCAGAAGGCATCAATCTATCCTGAGCAGTTTTGGAATTTTTGACATCTGTACGCCCGATTTTCTGTGATGATTGCACTCTATAAACTCGAATTTGACGCCGAATTCTTATCTAAATGGGCCTATTGGAAGAGCCACAATTTCCCTAGGGGTGGTCTGTTTGATTCCAAATTTTCTGTAGCAAGAAGAGGCTATGAGCTCAATATTCATACCCGAAATGGAGCGATTTCTAAATCTTACAGGCAAGCTAATGGGCGCACAAGGTTACAAAAGCTCAGGCCGCCTGACTCTTTGAGGGGTTGTGCCTGACCCCATTAAATTCATCTCCGAAGAAGCTTTTTCATCCAAGTTTTATGTGGCACTAGCAGCGCGGTAAATGAAATTTTCGCACTACTTCTTTGTCCATTAAATGAAAGCGATATGAAGTCTAATTCGTAGCATAGACCGATGGAGATTATCATTTTGTTAGTACGAAAAAGCTGGCTTCTTTCACTTTTGAAACTAACAAGGGAAGGAAGGTTGGTCGAAGTGGCCTTTTGAAATGAGGTCTATACTTTCTTGTAGAGCTTGGAACGCTGATTCCAAATCTACCTTTGCTATCTGCTGCGGGCTTCTGGGCGACGAGTTATGAAGGTTTTTATGAGTAAGAATCTGGATGCAAAAATAGGGTAAAATCAATCGTAACCTTTTCCCAATGTTCAAATGAGGCAGCAACGAAATGGTATACTTGAATCAAGAATATTTGCTACACCGAGTGACTCGACTACCAATTAAGCCCTGTAAAAAATGTTACGACTGATTTTAGCCTACTCCTGCATTCAGATTTTTACTCACAAAAACCTTCATAACTCGTCGCCCAGAAGCCCGCAGCAAATAGCAAAGGCAGATTTGGAATCTGCGTTCCAAGCTCTACAAGGCAGTATACATTCCGTTTCGGAAGGCCACTTCGACCAACCTTCCTTTCCTTATAAGTTAATCACGGTTAGAAATCACGCTTTTTGGACGTTATAAAACATTAGAAAATATTGTAGCATTGGCTTTTAGAGGTAATTTGAATGCTGATTACGAAAATCATATTCAATTTGCACAGCAAGCTTCTCCGATGATCTTACGGTGTGTACGGTAAGAGATAAGAAATTGAATTCTGAAAGGACTTTAACAGTGGAGATAATCAGTATGCTGTTCACGACACTCACCCCTCCAGTTCTGGCTTGTGATAATCACCGGTCTAGCGCTTTTCTTCCTCACCATCTCCATCTAGAATCTCCTCCATTTCCCAAAATTCCTGTGACGACCCCTCCCCCCCCTTTCCCACCCTTACCCTTCATACGACCTCTCAGGTCGGACACGCCTGACCTCAGATCAACCCTGTACATAACTCTCGGACCACCGCTAGCAGACTCTTTCTCTCACTATTCAGTATCATATTCCTGCACTCACCATGATCCTTCTTCAAGAGGGCGTACTGAAGCAAATCCCTTGACGATGTCTACGGCAAACCGCATAGCTTTCAACATGATTTGTAGGTGACATGCATCAGGCGGGGTTTCGTAAAGCGAGCATGTCACTCGTACGCTTATCTCTACTAGACACCATGAACTTCTTTTCTATATCCCATTTAAGCTTCTGCGCCAGTCTTGTTGCACATCCAGTATATACCGTGTCGAGTTAGAAAGCAAGCTGTGATTGTGCAAGTAAGTGAGTCAAAGTAAAAGTGAAAACTTTGACCAACGAAACAGCAAACACTGGTCTTTTTCACTCGATGCCATTTTTCCTGCTTCGAAGAAGTACTTTGGTGATATCGTTCGAAATCAAATTAGGGTCCCCTTCCCCACTTTGCCAAAAAAAATACAGGTAGCCCACCAGAGACTCAGAATGCGTCAGTGACGTGATACATAAAATTACAAAATTACTGGGAGAGTCATGTACTCGATTAATAATAATGATAGTTAACGATATGACTAGCAATTTATCACATATAATTTGCTAGGCACTAGAAAGCTAGTACTGCCATTACAAGAAGCACCGCAGATGTACTTAAGGTGCAATTTTCACAGCTCTTGCGGACCATAATTTCGTCTAATTTTAATCAATACTTTGTATATCTGCACTGTACATGTCTTACGAAGGATACTTGGTCGAAGTGGAGTTTTCATGTGAAATGTATACTATTTTATAGAGCATGAAACACTGATTCCAAATCTGCTCATGGTATCTGCAAAGCGCTTTTTGGGAGAGGGACTATAAGAGTTTTTGTTTTTTGAGGCATCCAAGGGTATATGGCTAAGGCAGTGGCGGTCCCAGGATTTCGGACCGGGGAGGGGCGGGGGGGGGGGGGGGCAAGAATTTTTTTCCAAATAAAGGTGCGTGGCTTCAGCCATGCACTCCGAAAGAATTTTTGGAGTGCTTCTCAAAATTTTTGCGAACCCATAACTCTTAAAATCTAGAAAAGAGGGGCGTGGCTGCCGCCCCCCCCCCCTTTCCAGATTTTTTTCTAGTTTGTTTTTTTAAATTTTCTTTACAAGGCTAATTTGACTTTTTGAAAAAAAAAACTTTTTTTTTTTAAATTATTTCAACTGTATACAAGAAAAAACAAGCCAAGTGCAAATTTTTATATTCTATAACCCAAGCAAGTAGATTAAAAAATTCGCAACCCATTCTCGGGGGAGGGGGGGGGGAGGGGCCCTCGGTCCGCCACTGGCTAAGGTGAATACGAGAATTGAGGTCCCCGCGCTTAAAAGGAGTAATGACTAGCACACGCTTATAAGACTGAAGATATTAATTGCAAAAAGCGTTTTGGCGGTAATTATGGCCCCATTTGCGTTTGAGCTCACAGACTACAGTTCCTAATGATTTTATTGTAGCCGCGCGTACAGATCTTTGCTTCAAAAAATTATAACTCCCCTCCCAGAAGCGCTTTGCAGTTACCGAAAACAGATTTGAATCAGCGTTCCATGCTCTTTAAGACTGGAACATTTCGTATAGAAACGCCGCTTCGACCAAGTACCCTTCCCTTAGAGAAACGCTACTCATAGACCTTCCTCTATCTGATCTTGTTGCTTGACTTCATAAGCTTATAATTACTCTTAGTCAAATTTGCGTCATAAGCCACTATGAGATGTAAATGGGATAGGGGATTAACTCTAGCGTTACTGTCCTTAGCTTCAAATATTTTTTCGCTATATGCAAATCCTATGGTGAAATATGAATTGAATAGGACTAATAACATGTCGCAGTTTCTGGATGGATAGGCGGCTAAGGCCTCGGACAAAATTCATGCGATTTGATCGTCGCGATTCAATCGCCGCAATTTCCATTCATTTTCATTTCACAGTCAAAAATTTCGGGCTGGAAAAGTATCACAACCAAAATGCAAGCTGGTGGGCATGCAATGAACTCGTAACAGTTGTCTTGTCGCGATTGAATCGCGACGATCAAATCGCGTGAACTCTGTCCAAGGCCTAATGCGAACAATGTAGATAGCATCTATCTTGAGAGTAGCTCCAGAACACACGTACAATGCAAGTCAGTACTTCTGCTGCACCTGCACCTCATCCTAGATGTTTGCCACTCAAAATCAGAGAAAGAACAAGTTCAAGTATGTTAGACAATGTGTGCACACCTGTTTCCGAAAATAGTAGACAAAGCAGTACCCGGTGGCTGATTCGCACGATAAGGATAGTGGACTTTATGTAGTCGATAGGCTCCGAGAGCTGATACAAATCTGTAATGTCTGTAACACGTATGGCTGCTTCTGTTGCAAATGTCCGCTTCCGGCGACATATGGTCCTCGACCTCCCAATCGTAGCTGTTGGTGCACTTCCGTACCGCCGTCGCGCTCGACGCACAATGCGGTGGCTCCTGCCTAAGGCACGCATTACACTTGATCTACTTGATCCGCTTGTCCACTTCGCTATTGGTCAAATCAGTGGACTGACCAGTAGGGAAGCGGATGTCCACTTTATTTCATTCACTTAGCATCGGTCAGTTCACTGATCTAACCAATAGCGAACCGGATGAAGTGGATCAAGTGGGCTGTGTATCGCGTGTCTGAGTGTGTTGCCTGAACAAGAAAATGGGGTGGGAGAACTTGGCCTAGCTGGTTAATGTCGTGCGAATCAGCCATCTTCATGAAATGCCTCTATCAAACTTTTCACCATCTGCATGGTGTACTTATCAAAACCTTAGATTACGACTCACTAATAAATCTCGCAAGGATTATAAATTATACACTAGTGCACTTCAATCAACATGAATTACAGGTTAGCACTGAAGTGTGACTTGACAGTTATTTCTGTAAGGGGAGGAGCGAAGCAAGGTGAGATTAAGGGCACAGTGCCTACATAACATGCGCACTTTCCTCCAAGTTCTGTGCTAGACGGGAGCGTCTCAAAGTCTAAGCTTTTTATTGAAAAGGATAACGATATAGATTCAGAGTCTGTTTTTGCTTACATTTCTACGCTCTAATCCTGCGAAGAAAGTTTAAACCCAGTTATAATATACATCAAAAGAACTTTTATAATTCACGAACACATAATCAGCAACCTCCCAGAGACATGTCCTCAACGCCCTTCCCCTTTCAAAAGCTCAAGATTTTTGCTTCACAAGTTACTTTGATACAGATTTTCTATATGAGGATACCTCCCATACGCTGTCGTCATCGCGGTAACATTTCTGCGCGTTAATCAGGCCGCTATCAATTTGCCGTGTAATTTCCGTTCACCGGAATCCGATACGATTGGCACACTGTCTGTCTGTATCCGTCTCATACATACACATTCACAGCGACATATGGGTCTCACCTCTACTCCCCCAGAAACTCATCAGCTACCAGCCGCCGCAGTCGACACTTTACGTGTGCGCAAGTCGAGAATGCAGTCATCGTCAAAGGCTTTCCTCTTTTCGATGCTTGTCGTGCTCGTTCTCGCCGCCTTCATTCCATCCAAGGTTGAGGTAAGAGTTATGATTACCACCCAGGTTGCTACTATAGAGTTTTCACGGGGAACCGATTACAAGGTCCTGAGTGAGGCATTGTCCCGGCGCCAACGCGAATGGATCATTCACCAAGAAATTATTTCAGAACTTAATCCCATTACCGTCAAAACTTAATCCCATTACCGTGCCTTGTCTCAGAGCAGACGACTTGCACATGACTTATATTACGCGCAACCTCTGAGACGAAGTACTTTGCTAAAGCCATGTTTGCAGACAAATTTCTCAACCATGGATGATTCATGTGCGTTGTAATTTGGGCAATGCCTTAACTACAGCCTCACAATCAGTTTCACGACAGAACCTCCGTGAAAACTTGCTTGAATTGCTATACATCATCTCCTTGGTTTAGGCACAAGAATTTCGACCTATTCTTATGAATCGAAGGGATCTGCTTCCATACGGCGACATCGTTTCCGAGTTGAAAGGAAAAACTTTGGGAGGACGCATGAGGTGGGCGTTGATGAGCATTTCATTATTGAATAAGCGAAGGTGGTGGATGCCAAATGTATTGCTGAATGATTAATGATTATGTGTAAGATTCAGAGACTGCTCGTAGGTAAAGGCTACTGCAGGTTGAAGGCGAAGATGCGGTATAGTTGAACGGGCGCGAACGAGACGCGCGCGTACCCTCATGTTGTAAATCCTGCGTCTCATGCGCTCTACGGCTAATAGAGCCGCATTCGCGCCTAAAGATATAAAGGCTACTGCATGACGAAGGCGCAATACCTTTGGGCGCAAAAGCGACTTTATTAGCGCGCGTATCTTCACCATTATAAAACCTGCGTCTCATGCCGCAGCGCGCATGAGGCGCAGGTTTTATAATGGTGGAGATACGCGCGCGCGCCGCGCTCGCGCCCGCTCAACTGATACCGCTTCTGCGCCTTCGTCATGCAGTAGCTTTAGCGCCTTCGTCATGCACAGCCGATAGATCATATAGAGGCTGTTGCCGGATGAAGGCGCAAAGGCAGCATTTGAGCGGGCGCGAAAGGGGCGCTCGCGTATCTTCACTGTAGTCTTCACTTTGCAGCATGCCTTTTATAGTCAAGCCATTTACGGGCGCAATTCGCCTATCACACAGGATAATGGGCAGCACGGGCGTAAAACCTTCCATCCAAAACATAACCTGCTCTTCAAAGAATAACAAGTGTTCACCAATACCACTTGAGGTGCTTCCATCCCCCCCCCCTTTCTGCCCCTTCTTTCCTGTAGCAACTCCACACTGTAAAACAATTAACCTCATCCGAATTCACCCATCTCACTTCCTCACATTCTAGGTTCGGCAAACGATCCATGGGTCCTTACCAACCCATACCATTCGAGACACTGGAGGCCTACGATCGTCAGCAACAAGCCTAAACGTCATTCCGAAGGTCGCTTCAACTCCATCACATTGTTGCCACACCTCATGCCTGGTTATTATGGTATTCAACTCAGATCTCTCTCCCCTAGTCAGTTTGTTGTCGTTTCTGAGCTCCGAACTTTGAGTTCTGAAGGTGAATGAAGGCTTTACCCTGTGTTTCGCCAAGACTTCTCAATGAGCTTTATCTGAGTTTGACAATACATTCTGAAGCTATAGCTGGTTGCGGATACGAACTACTCTATAAAAAAAACTACCCAGTACAGTTGCCTCCTACCCCCACCCCTTCCCATCCTACTTCAATCCCTTCTTCCTCCCACAAAACTAGCCTTCCAATTGAAATAATTTTTGATGAATGACTTTAGTTTATAAAAGCACGATAGACTGAAATAACTTGAAAAAATCATAGAAAATGGGAAGTGGCTTACAGGGAGAGAATACTTATCGAAAGCACTAACCCAGAAGAGACATATATCTTCTTAAAGCGCTTGAAACGCTGATTCCAGATCTGTAGTTTCTAGCTGCGGAGCAGTTTTGTAGAAGGAGTTATGAATGGTGTTACCCTCTGGGGTTGAGGCGCCCTCCAGCAAGTCTCCCCTTATCTACGAGCACTGTAGAAGAGTACCAATTGGTGGCAACTGGCCTAGTGGTAAGTAATTTGAATGAAAATTACCACAAGGATTATAATACTCATATTACTTTGATTTTTTAACACTTTCTATGTTCGATTAGCATCAATATCATCAGAAATTTCATGCTTCAGGGGGCTCCAAAGCCGTTTAGAAGCTCAAAACTGCAGAAATTGCGACAAAGTTGCCTGCGAAGAAGATTAAAACCTTGACACCCTGCTTATCAAGCAAGTCACTTACCACTAGGCCAGTTGCCACCAGTTCCTCTGCAGTGTTCATAAAAAGGAGAGAGGTGCTGGACGGCGCCTCAATTCCAGAAGGAAACACCTCTCATAACTCCTTCTACACAACCACTCCGCAGCTAGAAACTACAGATTTGGAATCAGCGTTTCAAGCCCTTTAAGAAGATAAATGTCCCATCTGGATTGGTGCTTTCGACTATGTATCCTCTCCTTGTTAGTAGAACGTGCAGGGCAACGTGCAACAACAGTACTGAAATTGTCCAAATAGATTGGTGCTCCACTTTTCTTGGAAAGATGCTTCTTCCATTCACTTTAGCGTTACCTAAGGAACCCATGAGAAAAAATTCAGAACAACGACACAACAATCCCTAGGTATTCTCAGAAGGATCGCCGTAATAAGAGGCAAATAATGACAAAACGTGTAGATGTTTGGTCGTCAATGCTGATTGTGATACAGATTATAAAGTGGTGACTGAAAATAAAGCAGGCAATGAGGTGAATTCTACTACCGACCACGTATTTCATGACAATACGGTATTACATTGGTATATGCACTATTTTCTACAGCACATGTTATACGTAGCAGGTCAAAAATTGAAAACAATTCAGTTATCAAAGATTTAGGAAATACGAACCACTTGAACATTGATTTATACCATTCTGACAGTTTTCGAATAGATAGCCAAATCCAGGAATACCGAATATCTTCGTGTTAATCAAAAAGAAAACTCGGAGAAGAGCTACAGCGATCCTGTGCACCTTTCCAGCTACATAGGTCGCTGAGTAGTCTACCACTGATTACAGCTAACCACTACGTTTTTGACTATTGTAAAAAATTTACCTCTGTCACTGCCGCAAAATAAAACGACCCACTTTAGTTATTATATTGTTAGAAATCATGCGCATGAGTGAGCTCTTCAGCAAAACAAGTAAATTATTACCACATCATCAAAAGATAGGAAAAAAGGCAAATTTGAAAGCTAGAAAAGAGTTGCAGAGAGCTAGTAACAAAAAATAAATCAATCTTAAGGAGTGAATAGAATTGGGAAAGGAAAAGATAAGCACTCATGAGTCAAAAGCAAAATGAATGTGAAGCGAGTGTTTGAAAAGTGTAAGATGCATGGAGTACCGAAAACTTCAAAATCAGCTTAGTTTGACACTACCGTACTGTGAGAATCTCACCAAATCAAAAAAGTGACCGACCTTGGAGTACTTTGCTTCAAACTTTGGATGTTTGGGATCTACAATAGTGATTAACACTGTTGCTTCTTTCTCCTCAACTGGCTTTCTTGGATCCATAGCACCACTAATTTTCCGAGATGTATGAACAGAAGGGAAGTCTGCAAAGTTAATCAGGTGATAAAACCATTATCCAAACGGAAAAGCAGTGTGGCCATATCAGACGAAGACAGCTACAAGAAATCTGTTCATATCCAGCTTACTGTCCAAGAAGGATGATGAAGGAAGCGAGGACGAGACGTTTTCAGTAGGAATACTAACTTCCGAAAGATCGGGACAAGAAGTGGAGAGAGTTTTCTAGAACATTAATTTTGATCGCTATATTGCATTCTGACGAAGATGCTCACATTTATTCCAAAGACTCCCTTTCCTGTGGAAACCAAAGGATAGATCGTCCGTTCCATCAAATCAGTCAGCTCTAAGTGCCCTACTCCAAATTTTATCTGAAGAATACTGTCGATTATAGAAAAAAAACTTCATTATAATTACCTTGGAAACATATGCCTCCCTAGTGACAAAGCCCATAGATACATTCTTTACATTTAAGCAAGCAAATGGATCACCAGCTTCCCATTCAAACGATGAACGCGTTTGTTCTGTCCATCCTCGACGTCTCAGTTCCATTGTTACCTATATTATGACACATGCATTGTGGGGAACGAACAGGCATTCACTCCAAAAATAAGAAAAGGGGAGCTTACACTGGGTATGTGCAAATTAACAAACACATGTGATTCCGTAGCGGACAGCTGTTGTGCACCTGAGTCGCCATCTACGTCAGAATGTGTACCCTGAACAAAATGTAGCTTATGGAAAATCTCAAAACGTACAGCGATAAGTAAGTAGATCGACAACCCGAATCGCAGCACACATACATTGGTCCAGAAGCAAATGCCAAACCACTCAATAGACAGAACTCTAAAGTGGCTTACCGTGACAAACATGGCCGGATCGTCGGTGAACAATGTTGATAAGCCAGCTAAAGCGTTTTCTTCATACATGACGGACACAGGGCGAAATGTCCCCTCTATGGTATGTCGTACAATCAGACGAGGTGATCGACGCCGGTACAACATCCTAAAGAATCAGAAGTTCTACATGCAACGCTAGTGTGTATGGCTTGAGTACTGAAAAGACGAAGGTCAAACCTGAACATTGGGTCATTATTCTCATCATTACTGTCCTTTTTGCCAACAGCAAGGAGTATCTTTGTTGATTCAGCTAACGAAAACATGAATGACTCGTCCAAGTCTTCATAAGCACGACCATCCTTTAAAATGAGATGCACTACGGAAAAAAGTCAAGGAGAGGAAACCTTTGGAGGGAGATGTCCCGTTCTCAAACGTTGGATGCCCATATCCATAACAGCTAGAGACACTGTCAAGGAATGCTGTCGAGGACTAAGTTCGACTCGAGAAGTCACACCGGTTAAGTCCATTGCTAGAACTCGACGCTGCTCAGCTTGGGCGAGCTTCTAGAAAGGAAATACACATTTTCCCATCATGAATGTAAGTAAAATCCCATTACCAGACAGATGAAGACTTACTATAGTATCAATGAAGCGTAAAGTCATATGCTCGAGACGCATCGCTATCTCTGCTAATAGCATATCGCGTCTTAACAACGTAGAATCATCCCAGGATTCGTGCAGGACATCCAGAATCTCTTCTTCCATTTCCTAACGCAGAAAACACACATATCGAATAGAGCAAAATCCTTTTCAAACAACAAAATGATAAGAACCACCTTCACGTTGAATGACTTTGGCAAACTTCCAAAATCCTTCAAGTCCAGTTTTCGAAAATCGAAAGCTTCCTCCTTGTCCATTTCTGAACGAGTTTCTGTTTGGTTACCATGGCTGAACAACATAAAATGGAAGAGTTAAACTGACTACTTTCTTCCTGCGTGAAAAAACTCGTTATCCATCCATACAAACCACCACTTTCTTTTTGTGCGCTGCGCATTACATCCACTGATGGAATTTCTTCTACTGGAGTGTCAATGTTCTCAAAGACGTCGTCATTGGTAGACGAAAGGTCAGTGCCTTTTTCTTTGGCTTTCTCTCGCACAAGCTTACGGAAAACGGTCTCCCGAAAAAGATGTAGCTCCTAAATTTGCCACTATAATAGTCGACAAAAGCATATACACGATTCATGACACGCAAAGAATGGCGCCTTTACGTCCGACCAAGATAATTCGCGCGCGGAAGAAACTGCAGACGGTGAGAGAAACAAAAGAGCGCTTGATCAGGGAAACGCCAATACGTCCGCAATCACTGCGTGCTTGAATCGCCTATACTTTACGTATTGAAGGGTAGCTAGCTAAGAAGCCAGCGAAATTTTGAATAGACAGAAAAATGTAGTTGGATCGTAGTAGAATGTGAAGAGCAAAGGTTTCGAAGACTGGCAGAACTCACATGATACGTATATTGGGAATCGTGCTCAATCTGCTTCATGATAACGATATCCTCATGCGGGCCATGCACGGGTGAACCTTGCTTGCTCGATGATGACTGCGTATTGTCCTCTTCTACCTTTTCGGTGGTAGCGTTCTTTCTGCAGAACAAATGACTTGAATGCAAGGTGGCGAAACAATTGCTATACTCACAACTCAGGGTTTTCTATCAAAGCTAAAAGCCGCCGCCGATACGCTCTACAGTATGCATTGAGGTGACGTGCGCGAGTGAGAGCAAAGTGCCAAGAACGACGAGCCTGCGCTCGTCGTGTGTCCTCACTTACTCGGTTGTAAGCGAATCGCCACCATTCTCCTGCACTAAAAGTATTTGATAAAAGAAGAGTACTGAATTAAACATGTGTCACTACAACTGCAAACCGCTCAGCTTACTTTTCGCCAATTTTCGTCAATGGTCTCCACTTCCTATGTTGTCGTGCTCGCTCGAATCGAGCCCATTCTCGATTGAGAGCCCTTAGTTCGGCCATCTGCCGCCTTGTCATTTCTATGGTAATCTTTTCCGGTAGCAGGAAGAACTGAACAGATGAAGTCTATTATATTCTTATTTTATAAAGCATGGAAAACGAGACCTACCTTAAACCTAGGAGTATGCCCTTTGAGCGGAAATTTGCTAGAATTCCTTTCCATTCTTAGCTCAGCACTACAAGGATGGATGATAAAAGCACTGCTAGGGTCTTCCGGCGCAAGTATGTCCTTCAAAATTCCAATAATAGGACATAAATATGATAGTGAATGACTGCAGACTAACCCGCAAATTCTTTGGTGTGTTCAAATGCTCCGATAATTTTTGATCCGAATTCCAGTAGAGACTAAACCCCTTCAATTCCAGTTTTTTGAATATATTCACACCCGACTGAGGCTCAACAAATCCAGGCTTCTAAACGGAGATAAAAACCAAAAGCTTGAAAGCAAGAAAACAAATCTCACTCCCGCAGCATTAGTCGTCTGCATCGTCATTGTTTGTATACGTACACCACAATTAAATACAAGTCCATTGGGCAATGACAAATCATCTTCATAACGAATATGAACATTGTTAAGTATCAACTAAAAACAGAATTGAGGCAGAGGCATAATTCTCAATTGCTCAGGACGACGCAACTGCTCGTCTAAGAAATAAGAAAAAAAAGAATCAAAACCAAAAGAATATTCTCATTTGCCTCCATGCCGTACACGTTTGCTGAGCAGTTGATTACACGATGAAAGTCCACTCAACAACTTGTACGACACAGAAGTAAATTACAATCACAGTCGATGTAACATACTATGTAAGAGAGAAACGTCAAGGCTTTGACCAACCTGAATATTATTTAACACTGTAGAAATCAAAGATGCACCCCACCACGTGTCTTGTGAGGCCGGAACAGTGATACCAAGGAATGACAATAACTCTGTCTATAACCGAAGTTTGTTCAATTATTAAGCACAAGCTATCTTGTTGACTCACTGTATGTCGCTTTTCTAGTTCATCTAACATTTGTTCCTTTTTTTGCTGTTCAACACGTTCCACTGCTTCCACGTCATATCGGCGATCAGGTGTTGGAGGACCGACAATGATGAGAACATCGCTCAACTAAAATCAGAATATTGAAAACAAGCAGTAATGAGACTTCGCTGACACAGATTTGATGATTCGAAGGGTAATCTAGTTTTCATGACGTTTGGAAGAAGCAGTGAACTTATGGAGAATCAAAAAAAAAAACTCATTGCATTGGAAACGGTAGCAAGCAAAGTAACAAATATGCCAACCTTCAATGCCCATGGCTCGCTTCTCAGATGTGTTATAGGCACAGAGAGCGTGAGCTTCCCCAATAAACCAGCCTTCACCTCTAATGGTAAATCAAGTTTGCGCAAAGCACTTTTCTTCAAAGGCACATTTTCTAGCTCTACTTGTCCTAAAAAGGTGAAATGGAGGAGCAATTAGAGGAAACAAGGAAGAGTATACCTGAGAGAAGTGCCACAGACAACTGATCTGTGTTCAGGTCTTCAAGGTATTCACCTATGTAGTTGTTAAGAACCCACGCAACAATGTTCTCAAGCATGCCTCGGGATCAGAAGCTAGAATATTTGGTAATTCTAATGAAATCAAAAGAAACCAACATCCTATTCAGCAAATCAAACTGTTCCATTTTGTAAACCAAATTCAAACTCACGATATAAATAGAGAGTCAAAATCAACTGCGACTTCCATGACAACAACACATTTTATAAATAATTCATCAGTGCGTCATCAACAGTATCTGTATGGCATGTGAACGAGTCTACTCGTGAAACTTCAGACGACAACATGTATGCTTTTTCAAATCCACAATTTCAAGATTCGCAAGTGTAAAATTATAGAAAACATGGGCATCGAACAGATCTTTTTCGGATCCGGCTCAAAACATCATCTCCCAGCTGTTTGACGCGCATTTCGAAAGGTGCGAAAAAGGAGGCACGTGCCGATTTTCAATGCCACAGCTAACTCGTGAAGGCTGATATCACAATACATGAGAATGAACGAGAAGTTTTTGACTAAACGAGATACGGCAGAAGTAAAACGGTAAAAAAAAAGTATGAAAATAATTGAAAAGGATCAAAACCTGATAAGAGCAGAGTGGAAATAGAAAATGAAGGAAAACGGTGAAAAGTCTTCCAGACCTTCTTCAAATATGAACACAGAAAGCGCGCGCGATCACCGCTGCGCAATCAATGAAAGGTGAGCAATTTCAACACACTCTCGATCAGACTACAACTATGGCTTTGAAGAAAAAGATACAAGAATAGATCTTGCCACAATAAAGGACTGCGATTGCTTTCATGATGCTACACATCTTTACATGAAACTGAATGTAGCAAAACTTGATTACTATCAAAGTCAACCTACGTTCTGTGCATCATCCACTATCGCATCAGATCATGTAAGAAGACGTTTCGTGGAAAAACAAGCAAAACTGAAAAAAGCACCCAACGCAACCACTAAACATCAAGATCCACCATAAAAATATAGCATAGGAAGCGAGACCCACAGCAGAGCAAATGACGACATACACTCTCTACTAACTTTATCCTCTATTTACATTTACTTAATATAACAACATCTACTCGACAGGAGAAAGCAGCCCACGGGAGACCGTCGATCGAGGAGAGAAAGGCCTGGAAGTGGAACATATTTGGCAGCGATCGAGAGCAGCGATAGCAATTCGCCGACGCGATTTCGCACTGACCAGTATTGCAACGAAGCTTACCTAACAGATTACTGTGGATAATGTCCATGCTGCTCGTACTGGTCTCGTATGCGTAATGCATGCCATCTACCATAGTCCACCCAGGTGGATGATACTGGTTGGTAGCTCCAGGCTTTGTAATCCCAGCGCTCGCCTTCCAAGTGCTTTACTCGCTGCTCAATTTGTCTACAACAGAATGGAGATACATGTAACCCAGCCAAAAGGAGCATCACTAGCTTGAACTGCGCTCATAATCAACATAATAGCCGGCACTTCCGAGACATTCCGACATATTTCGCATTTTTTTTTTGTTACGCCAACACCGAGAAAAATTCTAAATGCGTTCTTACCTCCATCTAGCTTGTATTCCTAATTTTTCGTAATAAGCAAGATTCCGCTCGTGATGTTCAATATCAGAAACGCCGAAGTGCTTTGCCCACCACTGACGAACAGGTGTCCTCTCAAACTGCCAGTAGTGTGGAGGATCACCCTTCAATTACTGAGGTTCATAAACTTGATAAAGAGGTATAATGATATATTTTCATAGGCAAAGCTGTAGAGGTAACGTAATCGAAAACGGCCAAATATTTGCTTTTCCCTTACAAGGCCAATAATTCTAAGAAATCTGAAGGCATCTCGTGTGGAAATAATTCTGCGGCCATAACTAAAGCACTGTCCACGGCTGCCCAAATGATGCACCGAAATAATCTTCGAACCAGAACCCAGTATCTTGCTTCTTCTTGCGATGTAGAGAATGATGATGAGGCGGGATTCGAGGGGCGTCCCAGGATTTCGGACCGGGGGGGGGGGGGGGACGCGACAAAAAATTTTTTCAGATGAAGGTGCGTGACGTCAGCCACGCACTCCGAAAAATTTTTTGGCGTGCTTCTCAAAATCTCAAAATTTTTGCGGGAATAAACAAGTCGTCTGCACATTTTTATAACCCATATAGGTAAGTTTCAAAAATTTCGCGACCCATTCTCGGGAGGGAGGGGGGGGGGCCGCGCGCCCCCCTCGGTCCGCCACTGCTATTCTCCTTTTCGCGAACCTTTCCTTCATGATTTTCTCGTTAAACGCTGTTTTCATTTTCAAAGAGTTGCTGCATCCTCGATATCTGCAGCTGTCTTCAGATCCTCTCAAGATAATGGGTTTCTGTGCGTTTCCCATTTCTCTTCACAACTACTGCTTGCTTATTCGTTCTTGATGGATTACTGTACCACTTCTGATGAAAAGCTTTCAACTTGGAGATGTACACGTATGAAAACGGCATCAATTTGTGACAGTTTTCAGCTGATGCACAAAACGAAATACCGCTCATTCTTGTACCCCTCTCCAATTTCGAACTTTTTCAATCATAAGAGCAAGCGATACAGGAATGAGGTGAAAACTAGCAAAATTCACTACGAAAAAGCAAGTTACAATTGTTAATTCGCAACGCTCAAAACCGCATGCGTGCGGATGCAGCCTAGACAGTTCCACCACAGTGCAAGAACTGTGCTGGAACTGTTCCGGAACTTGGGGACCAGTATGAACCCAGCCCATAGCGCTACCAATCTTTGCTCTTAACGTGCTCCACGTCACTACCAACATCAGTCAATCTAGTAAAGGCACCGTCCACCCAAAGTGAGGGTTCACGAGATTCAACGGCATACTAATGTGGGCCCCCACACTAGGCCAACCCCCAATTTTCCCCGCAAAAAGGTTGCTTCCGGAGCGAGAAATCCGCTCTGGAAGGTACGTGATACTGATCCAGAGGTGGTCACTCCGCCCATTTTGCAGCTTTGGGGGCTGCGGCGCTGATATACGCCGGGCGATAACCGCGCCGCAGCCCTGCAAACTGCATTTCCACCCGTCCCGCTTTCTCCAAAATAGGGGTTTTTGGGATTGTCGACTTCATATTCGAAATCAGTGCCTTCAGAAGGCCCGAAAGCGGCAAAAATTGGAAGTCGAGAATTTGGGTGGACGGTGCCTTTAAGTACGAATCTGAAGATGAACACTTAGGCCCGTATGCACGTACATCCCCGCGGGGAGGGGAGGGGATCTCATAGGGTAAGCGTCATATCTCGCTAGTCTATACACCTTTCTTCTTCTTTCTCTGTCCTGCTTTTGAAGGTTCTCATACACTGATACGTGCGCATAATGGATGCCAGGTTACTGCTCTACAAGTTTAGATATTCACTGTTTTGTCTGATCCCCTGGGGATCCCCAGGGGATCAACTCACATTTTCAAAGTCATTTATCTTCCTGAAAACTCAATGAAAATGCTCGAAAATTGCACTGAGGATATACTACAGTGCTGTTAAACATGCTTATGGTAGAAATGAGTGAAATCTCAAGATATCAAAATCTTCGATGAACCGCTGCTCGCGAGCCAGGGATTATCGAAAAAATCAAAATCTTCAGATTCCATTTCTTCTGTCGAAAACGTGCTCAGCAGTATCGCAGTATATCTTCAGTACAATTTTGCAGCGTTTTCATTGATTTTTCAGGAAGATAAATGACTTTGAAAATGTGAGGGGATCCCCTGGGGATCCCCAGGGGATCAGAAGAAATAGTGAATATCTAATCTTGTATGGCAGTAACCTGGCATGGGTGTATGCCCTTCTGAACCGCTTCGTCCTAGCGCTAATTACTCTGCCGGGGCGGCGCTAATTACTCTGCCTTTCTTATAATCTTTCAGAGTTTTCAAATATCTCTGAGCATTCCAAAGCAAGCGAGGCACATAAATGACGATAGTGACGATGTTTATCTCTTGAAGACAAAAAGTTGGAAAACTTGCATGTTTTTTGACTGGCCTTTCGTGATTTCTTCTCCCTTCCCACTTTTCAAAACACCATGAAGTCTGCACGTTAAGCTGAAGAATTTACCTTAGCCGCCCACGTATAACATTTTTGAGTTTCATGGGAAATTCAGACGTCTCTAACGACAGCATAGCTCTCGCCTACCCAAGCGCCGCGGCAGCTCCGACCAATCAGAGGCCGCGCACTAATTGAGCTGCTAACGCTAACGGTTCAGAAGGGCCGTCTCCCACCTGGCATCCGTTATGCGCAGGTATCAGTATATGAGAAACTTCATAAGCAAGATAGAGAAAGAAGGAGAAAGATATGTAGACTAGCGAGATATGACGCTTCCCCTCTCAGATCCTCTCCCCTCCCCGCGGGGATGTACGTGCATACGGGCCTTAAAGGCAGTACATCGGTAGAATGAGACCCGTGACAAAACAAGGTCACAGGGTAGGAGCCCCCATATGGAATCTATTGGCCAAAGTCCGATCTTTCTCTGCCACTTTTAACCCCCGAAATTTCAAAGCGAAAGCAGCGCTTATCTCCTGTCCTCTCCGAACCCGCCCACCCCATGGACGAGTGACTTCCGCGGTCAGAGCGCCAGCCGCAATGCTATAAGCATGAGGTCCCATAACGACTCTGCGTCTTCGCCATGACGGGCTTCGCGTTCCCTCGTCCATGCGGTGGGCGGGTTCGGAGAGGACAGGAGATGAGCGCTGCTTTCGCTTTGAAATTTCGGGGGTTAGAAGTGGCAGAGAAAGGGAACGGCCATAGGTTGTCGGTGTCGTCGGTGTTGTCGGGGTTGTCGGGGTCAGAGACAGTTTAGAGAGCGCGCGAAACGTGGAGGCTATCATAGGTCCTACAACGACCGGCAACCCCGACAACACCGACAACACCGACAACCTATGGCCGTTCCCAAAGATCGGACTTTGGCCAATAGGTTCCATATGGGGGCTCCTACCCAGTGACCTTGTTTTGTCATGGGTCTCATTCTGCCGATGTACTGCCTTTAAAGGATCCATGTGGTGATATAGAATCAGTCGTTCCCCCCTCTCTATGCACAGTTCAATGAGCAGTTGTTTCGATTTAGCCCAGCATTTACAAGCAAAGATTCGCTGGTGGATTTTTCGGCCACTAGTGAACCTACTGCACTTCGGCCTTTAGGCTAATTTGGTCAGAAGCTCGATGCAACATGGTACGAACACCTTCACATCAGTATACAGTACTTGAAGAGATCGTGTGCAGAAAAATAAAGCATTTTCGGAGCAAAACTAAGAATTCTCACTCAAACTCCATATGAAAGTAACGCATTAAAAAAGAGGACACGCATGTGAGCTGAGTAACACAAAACGCCAAATGGCGTTCACCAAAATTATGCGTACTCTTAGCGATAGCGTCTAGGGAAGTGTGGACACATGGGGATCTTACATGGAAAGTAACTTTGGGGCACTAACTAAGCCACTGCCCAACCGGCAGCTGGTAGTGCTCTAATTGCTCAGATATTCTCCTCGCAACTGGACCCCAGGATCGTACCTGTAGTCCAGTTTGGAGGCGTATATCTCAGCCGCAAGCCGCTGCCGCTTGGGCAGTGCATTAGTTAGGACCCCAAAATTACTTTCCACGTGAGAACCCCATAAGCAGATTTGCCCGGACACTGCCTTTAACACTGGGTTATTCTCGATCACGATAAAAACACTTATAACTAGAACTGATACGCAAACACAGTACTGCGTAAAAATATAGATGGGATCATATGTATAAATAGTCTGCAACACGAGCAAGCAAAGTCATTTCATTTGAAGCACAGTATGTCAAAAAAAAACTGTTTATAATTCACCTCGGGGTAATCTCGCAGTTCGCAAGTTCCATAAACGATGTGGTTGTATGCTAAGCACAATATGACTGGCAGAATCCCAATCCCGATAAAGTAAAAATGAGCAATATCCTGAAATCTGAACCTGATCATACAGCCCGTTCTTCATATAGGGTATTCGAAAATCGTGACGATGGCGCAACCGCGCGCGATACGCACGCCATTGCATTTCTTGGTTTCTACCTCTACTCGAATGGTTTTTCTGCTTACATATGATAGTATTCATACATTGGAAGTAACTTGGCTGGGCGTTGAGTTGGTGCCTGTTTGTATAAGTGTTTTATGCTCCTGTATGCGCGAAGACCGCAGTCAAACTCGTCGCCATGATTTCAAGGACGGACCACTTACAGGGTGTCCCAAAAAATATGCCTAATGATTGTTAATAACTCTCTTGTAATGAAGTGTTTCGAAAAGCTTAAGGTACCATTTTGTAAAGCTGGCTTCGACTTAGATTCGATATGGAGCGACTGCTCTGTTACTGTAGGACTATGGTAGAAACTTTGAAGAAGGTTTTGAGCCATGAAAGCCATATTTTGCCTCAAAAAGGAAACAAAACAACCTGAGAACTCTCACACTGGGCTAATCAAAATTCCTGATTTTGAATGTGAAGTTCATGTTTACAACTTATCATGATGCTTCAGTTAAAAGTTATCTGAGATAAGCAGTAGCAGCCGTTTTTTCAGTGTTCCTGAAAAGTGCGGTTACACCGGTTTAAAAGACTTCGCAATCTTGTACATAGTTGAGTATTGAACTCAGCGTCCATGAAAACCCTAATACACAAGTTGTCACATTTTTTTTTCTGAAACGGCAGGTATTTTTACATTGGCTTGTTTGAAGTTCCTACCGCCATTCCACAAAGAAGAGCCATCGGTGATTCGTTCTAAACTGTAGATCTAAATTGAAGGCAGCTCTACGAAATGGTACCTAAAGCTTGTCGAAAGACTTCATTATAAGAGTTATTAACAATCAAACAGTAGGCACATTTTTCGTGCCAACCTAATATATCAGCAAAATCTATAATAAGGGTGTCCCAAAAAATGTGCCTACTTCAGATTGTGTCAGTATAGTGTAGCCAGCACGAGGTTTGAGTGAAGCTTTTTATTACATCAGTGGCCATCAGCGTCTCTATCAATAGTTATGATTTTCGAGCAAGCAATAGGGCGAATTAGATTTATTTTGGCATTTTTCAGGGAAATCATAACTTTTGATAGAGACGCTCAATCGAGCAAGCTTCGCACCATTAAAAAGAGCTGGAAAAAGAACCTACAATACTGACTGCTCCGATTTTTCTTGCAAGTTTCCGATTTTTTATGACCCTACACAGCAAATTCAAATTTTGACTACTTTTCTTCTATCGCTCCTATCTATGCAACAAATGATCACCAGCAAGCAGCTAAGATGTCATGGTAAAGAGCATGAGTTACTCTTTTATATAAAAATAAAAGCAGCCAAATCGGCTAAGAAAATCAAAGGTTATGAATTTTTCAAAATGGGGACAGAACTTTCGTGCCAACCTAATACTTTCTATTAAGGCTGTAAGAAAGCTATTCCAAGAAAAAAATATGCCACTTTCAGCCAATACTATATTATGCACTTTTCACATTTCTGCAGTAGCAGATATCACGAGAACGAATTCAAACAATAAACAAAAAACATTGTAACAAGAGATTCTCTCTGAATTCACATGCAACAGAAACTGCGAAAGCTGTTTCGTCGAATGCCTAAAAATTTTGAGAACCCACCTTGATCCGATTCACAATGAGTTGAGGTGGTCTCTTCCGGAACACCGCCGCATGTGATTCACGGAGGGCTGGCATCAAATATACCGTTGGCTTCAGTAGAGCTTGAGCCGCCAAGGGGCTCATCTTGCTGAGTATAGTCATCCTATGAGGAGTACTACTTAGATCTTGATTGCCACAACTACCTGAACAATAGTTTCTATTCACAGAACACAGGCCACTGTACCGACGAGATGATGCACAAGCAACAGCGGCGGCGGATTTCACAGAAATGATGACAAATGAGTGCAAAAACCTGATTCTGAAGGAGATTGAGACCAAGCGCAAGTTAAAAGCACCACCCAACCAAATTCTCGACTTGCATTTTGGTTTTGGCCGTTTCGAGGCCTTCTCATGTCCCTGATTCCAAATATGAAGTCCAGAATCCGCGAACCCCGATAATCTCCGTCCCAGAGAACCCGCAGACCCGTTCTCCGGAAGGGTGAGTGGATGGGCGCGCATGGATGGGCAGGCATTATCGAGAGGGGCGGTGTCGACTTAAAGTCCTCTAAGCCTATTTGCTATTCCGATGCGGTTTTTCACTTCCGAAGCGACATTTTGCGAGCGGCTCGATCTGGCCTAGGGGGTACTACGTCATTTGAGGTTTTAGAACATGCATGGTGCAGTGTACTACTATTATATGAGGTTTTAGAACATGCATGGTACAGTGTAAATCACCAAGATCGTAGAGTGAAATTTCTCTCTTATGGATGAGGCTTGATGCCGGAATCCAACACAAATAGAGCAGATCAAATCCAGGAAGACAACACTGAGAGGGGGCATAAACACCTTTATAAAGAGTAAATGATCCCCAGAAACAAATACGGGTGTCTATTTTTTACAAACCAAGTAAGCTTGCGCCAGAAATCCCTCATTAAAGGCAGCGTCCAGGCAGATCTGGACCTATGGCGCGCGCCATACTTGATCCGCTTCATCCACTTCGCCATTGGTCAGTTTGCTGATTTGACCAATAGCGAAGTGGATGAAGCGGATCAAGTGGATCAAGCGGATCAAGTATGGCGGCTACCTATGGCGATTTTACGTGGAAAGTACTTTTGGGGCCCTAACTAAGGCTCTGCTCAAGCGGTAGCGCAGTTAGTGCTCTAACAGCTTGGATATTCCCCTCGAAACTGGACTCCGCGATCGTTTCGCATGGACTCATGGCAGTTTCCCGCGAGGATCCACGCGTTGCGCCATGACATGCGACACACGATCCCGGGGTCCAGTTTCGAGGCGAATATCTCAGCCGTTACAGCACTACCTGAACTGTCGGTTGGGCAGTGGCTTAGTTAGGGCCCCAAAACTACTATCCACGTAGATCCCCATGAGTCCAGATTTGCCTGGACGCTGCCTTCAATAACACCCTTTTGGAGACCTTGTTCTTGAAAGCGACTGTTCAGAAGCAATAAATGAATACAATACTCCACGAATGTAGATGAACATGAAAAAATCTATTGCCAAACCTTCAACAATGCCCAAGAAAAAACAGAATGTTGCAAGCTAACAGGACCGTTCAGGCCTCGGGCAAAGTTCATTGCATGCCGATCTTCTTGTATTTCGGTTATGATAGTTAGTCACGATTAGTCGTGTTGAAAAACTATCACAATGGTAGGTGCCAGAGTAAGCGAATATTTTGTTCAGCATCGTTCAGCTGCAAAAGGCGCACAGAATTGATGTCTGCTGCATAACCTCTGCTGCTGCCAAGGCCTGCTTCAGCTGCAGGTCCCGCAGAATCAACGTTAATTCTGTGCGACTTTCGCAGGTGAACGAAGCTAAACAAAATATTCGCTTACTCTGGCACCTACCAATCGAAATGCAAGAAGATCGGCATGCAATGATATTGTTACGGATGTCTTCGAGATCAGTCGCGACGATCAAATTGTGTGAACTCTGCCCGAGGCCTCAGAAACTTTCTGTCATCAAAAGCTCCATCAAACATGGGAAAGTATTGAAAAACTTGATCTAGCAAATTCCGTAGAGTAAAATCGTATATAGGAAGAGGCTACGAGATATAAAATCAGCAGCTGTAGAAAGTCACTATATATTGCAAAAATAACAAGAAATTTGCAAAACTCGTGCTTAAAGTCAAAGTAGATTTACCAAGAAACTTTGTAACTAAAACGCTGAAAACTTTAATGGCGACTTTAATGGCGCTAGCGCGCACAAATTGTGCAAACGAGTGCTGGCGCCTTCACAGTGCCGACAGGACAGAGCAGCTTCCAAATCTTTTTTTTCAAAGTCTGTTTTGTATATCCAAATCGAATCGAATCAACACTGAGCTGTTTAGGACCGCTGATTTACTGCAAAGATTTGAGTCAGTTCAGATAATCTTCCCATCACTTTCAGATATGAACCTATCTAGTGCCTTGACAAGATGTCGCATGCTAGCAACTGGATTATTGGGGAATGCTTATTCACCTCTAGCAGTACCTGTTCAATATGCTTCTGGTCGATGGTGGCCTCAGCCCGAGTAAGCTTTACTTTTCGGTTTTCTCTTTTTTCTCAATTGAAGTTAGCAGAAGCTGCGGTTTTTCAAGCGCAACTGGTCTGTCTTCTTATTGTTAAATACTTGGTGTACGGTTGCTTATAAGTCTCCCCTAATCATATACTATATATAGTGACTGATCGCACATGATTTTCCGCCATCAAAAGGTTGCGGGGATTCCCTCACGTGGAGGGTAAATTCAAAATTAAGGTAGTGTTCGATAAACTTGCACATTCACGTTTGTCTATGCCTGTATTGCTGCGGTGCATTGGTGATAATTTAACACTCTGGTCCTCCCGATCGGATCGGCCATAGGTTGCCGAGAACTGTTGCCTGATTTATGGCATTGCCGAGGTTGCCGGGGTGGGTTGGCGAGGTTGCTGGGGTCGCCGCGTAGAGAGCTCGCAACACAACAACGATGGCAACTCGGCGATTCCGGCAAAAGTTGTCGGCAACCTATGACTGTTCCCTAAGGCTTGATACATACCTCGCTGCTTAGGCTTGAGATATACCTGACGATAGAGGTATAACGGGTGTTGGCGAATCGCTGATGTCTGCGCTGCCTCCAGCTGCTCGTGGCTGTTGCGCTGGGTACGCTTTGGGTGCAAGAGCGAAGTAGCTTTATTCATTAATACGCTTCGCTTAGGCCATTAGGAAGGTAAATTTTTGAAACTACCAAAATTTGAAAAGATGATTGTATGAGATCCAAAAAAGTCATCCTGTTTTCATCAAAAAAAAATTCTTTATAACAGGCATAAGATGGCAAACTAAATGTTGCATATACTGAGAATAATTATAATCACTTGACAAATATCCAAGCGAGTGTCGCAGTAGAACCTTGATGTGTGCTTGAGGCAACAAGTGATCTAGGTCATAACTGCCGTAATGTATTGAGGTGTACTGGTAACATCCCACTAAATCGTAAACCCTCTACCTTTTTTGTTACTCCGATTTGATTTGATTTTTGCTTCGCAAAAGTCCTGTGCGGTTTTTCATATTTAATTCTTCGTCCACTTTGTCAATTCTGTTGATTTTCCTATCGAAGAATTTGCGTTTTGATCTCGCAAATTTGTCACAGTTCAGTAACGCAACAAGCGCTCTAAAAAATTTTCAGAAGTTCAAAAGATGTAAAAGCGGGCAAATCCGAGCAAAATCAGCGCTAGCAGCGTGAAGCAGCTAAGAGAAGCTCACCAAAAGTGAGCTTCATATCGCGTAGCAGCGAGGAGCAGCAACGAGCAGCAAGCAGCAGCGCAGAGCAGCGCAGCATCGCCAGCTATAGCAGGTCTGTTTCGCATTGGCTGCAACAGCTAGAAGCAGCAGCGTTGCCTGGCGTCAATCGATACGCACAAAAGGCGTTGCTGCTGGCAGCGTCTTGTCGTCAGCTATAGCGACCCATCGTCAGGTATATCTCAAGCCTTACATCTTTTGAACTTCTGAAAATTTTTTAGAGCGCTTGTTGCGTTACTGAACTGTGACAAATTTGCGAGATCAAAACGCAAATTCTTCGATAGGAAAATCAACAGAATTGACAAAGTGGACGAAGAATTAAATATGAAAAACCGCACAGGACTTTTGCGAAGCAAAAATCAAATCAAATCGGAGTAACAAAAAAAGGTAGAGGGTTTACGATTTAGTGGGATGTTACCAGTACACCTCAATACATTACGGCAGTTATGACCTAGATCACTTGTTGCCTCAAGCACACATCAAGGTTCTACTGCGACACTCGCTTGGATATTTGTCAAGTGATTATAATTATTCTCAGTATATGCAACATTTAGTTTGCCATCTTATGCCTGTTATAAAGAATTTTTTTTTGATGAAAACAGGATGACTTTTTTGGATCTCATACAATCATCTTTTCAAATTTTGGTAGTTTCAAAAATTTACCTTCCTAATGGCCTAAGCGAAGCGTATTAATGAATAAAGCTACTTCGCTCTTGCACCCAAAGCGTACCCAGCGCAACAGCCACGAGCAGCTGGAGGCAGCGCAGACATCAGCGATTCGCCAACACCCGTTATACCTCTATCGTCAGGTATATCTCAAGCCTAAAAGCGGGCAAATCCGAGCAAAATCAGCGCTAGCAGCGTGAAGCAGCTAAGAGAAGCTCACCAAAAGTGAGCTTCATATCGCGTAGCAGCGAGGAGCAGCAACGAGCAGCAAGCAGCAGCGCAGAGCAGCGCAGCATCGCCAGCTATAGCGGGTCTGTTTCGCATTGGCTGCAGCAGCTAGAAGCAGCAGCGTTGCCTGGCGTCAATCGATACGCACAAAAGGCGTTGCTGCTGGCAGCGTCTTGTCGTCAGCTATAGCGACCCATCGTCAGGTATATCTCAAGCCTTAGGTATGGACAAAACCGACGAGCAGCGAAGGCAGCGCTGCTTCGGCTGACCAGCGCTGCAGTCGGCTGCTTCTTGAGTGCTCGTTGAGTGCAAAAACCACCAAAATAAATGCGCTATCGCCAAGTTTTGTAATGTCGAAAACGAGAAAATTAGTATGTTTTGAATTGGATCTGAAGTCATATCCAGCTTTTATGAGGAATTCTTCATGTTCCATTTTTCATCATCAAATCTATAATGGAAAGGTAGCCTCACACGAGCAAGCAAAAGAGGAGCATAGGTGTGATTCCATTCGACCCTTGCAATGACATAGCGGAGTCCACTGGGGGCGAGATTATCTCACTACACCGTCAGTTTCTTAAATTATTGCCAATCTGTAGTCGATTTGATTACTTCATATCTCTTCAACTTCATGAAGTATGTCTCTCCAGTGCGTCTCGGTATTTCCCCATATCCGTTTCTAAAATCCTAGTTTGATGATGGTCTTAGGTTGCATTCATGACTTGCTCATGCAAGAAAGATGGACTTCGTTTTTAAAACGCCAATTGCAGCCTGAAAACCGGTAAAAATAGGTAGATTCAAACAAAAGCAGCTGTTTGCAGCTCGAAGGCTTGGTACATAGTACCTCGCTGCTTAGGTATGGACAAACCAAGGAGCAGCGAAGGCAGCGCTGCTTCGGCTGATCAGCGATGCAGTCGGCTGCTTTATGAGCGCTCGTTGAGTGCAATAACCATCCACAATAACTGCACAATCGCCAAGTTTTGTGATGTCGAAAACGAGAAAATTAACATGTTTTGAGTTGGATCTGAAGTCATATACAATTCTAGAGGAGTTCTTCATGTTTCATTTTTCATTATTAAATTTATAATACAAAGTAGCCTCATACGAGCAAACATAAGAGGCGGCGGCCCAGGAGTTCCCAAAACCGCCGCCTTTTCTTGCAGGGGTAGTCAGCACCTCCAAGGGGCTTTTGCACTAGACGGCTCCGCCCACTTGCTCCGTCCATTAGCTAATCTTATTCCGAGTTGTGCAGGCTTGAAATATAGTTGTTGTGTTATTCTGTGTTTTGTTTAACGGATGAATAATGACGGATGGAAGGTGACAGATGAGAAGTTATGAGGTCTACTTGAGGGCATCGCTTTGTCGGAAGCAAGGATATTAGGTTGCTGCATAAGTTCTGTCCGATTTTTTTGCCTTGAGTTTGAAGCAGCTGTTCTAAGAGAATTTCATCTCTAATGCGGTATTGTTAATATCACTAGAGAGTGCTTTTCTTGCTCTTTCTAATGCATATCAAATTTTAATAATTTTCTTGGTGTAATGAGATTTCAGGCCTAAAATCTTCAAGTGGCCGGGATAGGTTCTCACCCTAGAAATATGTTCTCGCGAGGAAATCTCCACATTGCGCCCTTCAAGTCAAGTTCTTCATTGTTTGCGGAATAAGGGTTTAAAAGGCTAGTATATGCAGAAGCTCAATTCCAAGAAGAAAACGTCTCGCTAGTAAAATTTGTTGTCGAACATCAATTTTTTGCATAGATGTTTTACAAGCAATAACTTTCTGCGAATAGAAGTAATCGATGAGTTCAAAGTTGGAGGTGCTAGGACAAAGAAAGAGCTTGCAGGGCCCATCCACCAATTCCTTTTCGGCGCTCACGTCAACTGTAAAATTTTCATAACTCGTAAATAGGCATGCACATATGCGCTGAAGCGAGGTCAAAAAATGGCTTCTTTTTTGCTCGGTCAAAAAGAATCTTTCGGCAACGCAGACCCTATGGGCTCTTTTGTGCTTCAAAGTAATCCATGGAAATTTCTCTATATATCCATTGTTAGACAAGATGCCTTTCAATTCTCATAAGGGAGCATTACCAAGTCAAAATAGACAGGTTTGAAGAGAAACGCTGTGAAGTTTTTGGGTTCTTGCTTCTTGCTTAACAAGGATTTTCGCAGGTTTCAATATGTATCTGGTAGCCAGGGAATTGCTCAACACGCAATGACTAAAACCTTAAGAAAAAGTTGACTTTGAAAGAAGTTGTGACATTTTGAACTCAAAAAAATTAAATCGGACAGAACTTATGCAGCAACCTAATACTTCCGTTTTCTCAATTTTCAGCAATATGCACATAGGTATAGTTCATTTATAAAATCGTGACGATGGATTTTGTTGCGGACTTTGCGCCCAAACGCTCATACAAAAAGGCATCACCTCGATGTCACTTCCAGTGTCTGAATATTATCATACGTATGCAAAAAACCATTCCACTAGAGAAGAAAACCAAGAAAATGCGACTTCCGGAGGTGGCGTGCGTGTCGCGCGCGGTGGCGCCATCGTCACGATTTTTCAAATGCCCTATACCTCTGATGTGAAAACATATTTCTTGAGCAAGTCGCACAAGTGCAATTTTTAATGGAGTTTCTGATTTTTTTTTTGGATTTTTCGGACAGTTGGATTTTTCGAGTTTTTGCAAATCCGCGTAGATCAAATTTGATTCAAAACACTACTTGTAGAGCTTGCTGTGCTCTATAGAATCAAAACCACAGAATCTATCCAGAATAAGCGTTGACTTATTGCGAAGAATTATCATTTAGGACATTTTTGAAGCTAGATCTTGACTTATTAACCGAATAATTTGAGCTTCTCATCATTTTCAACAACTTCTTCCTAGAGTTTGAATGCATCTTCAATACTGGGTTTTGGGCTCCAAGATAGTTATCCCGTTTATGTTTTTTCGACGTTTTATATGGAGCGTGTTTCGGTGCGATGTGCGCATTCATATAGAGATCTTTTAGTTTCTCCCGCATGCATATGAGCACGGATGTAACCACTAAGGATAGCGACATTGTTGTTTCCACACCTCGGGGCGAGATCATACTCAGAAAGGAAGACGCAGCACCTATTTACTACAAACCTAAAGGGGACGGAAAGACTGGATTCGAGCTCATACCTTACAAAAATGGCGAGATGGTCGCGAATTATGTATTGTTCGAAGCATCTATGGATAAGGCCAAGGTTTCTTGGAATTGTTATGAAGGACTAACAAAGAACGAACGCACAATCTATATGGCACATTTGAAAGCGATCGAGGAGCGAAAGTTGACTTACACAGACCCCTTTACTGGCTATACTGTATTTACTGTCAGTCATCATCTACATAGGGGCGAATGCTGCGGCAACGGATGTAGGCACTGTCCGTATAACATGGAGAACGCTAAGGAAGGAGTGAGAAAGGGCAAAGTATGGAATGGTGCTTTTTACGTATAAATAGGTCTGTTGTTTGTATGCAGAGATTTTATTTGGTCTGATTCATCTTTTCTGTTATTCAATAGAATAAAGCCCTTTCTGCCTGACCTTTTGTTTGTACTTACGGTAAATTTGATCTACAGTCGTCTCTTCTTGCGGAAACTGATGAATAGGCCTCGACTCAAGCCTTGCTCAAGTGGTAACGCAAACAATTTATTCGTTGGCATGAAATTCGTGAAGCCCTCCATTTCCTATTCTAGAGCGCCTCGCGAACTACTGATGAGTTACGATTGCAAACGATTTCGCTCTGTTTTGCATCGCATCCATGTGTACCCATCATGATTCAGGGGTTGAGATCGGAAGTAAAGGCTTTGGGCATGGATTTCTCGGACTGAATGAAACCTTTGCGCTGCCGGTTGAGCGACGCCTAAGTTACGGCCTCTTCGTAAGTTTTCGCACGAAAAATCCATGTGCGGATTTGCCTAGAAAAGTGCTTTCGAAGATAAATTCACATCGATGCTCATCTTCAAGCAATACTAGATTACGGCGGCGGTTGCTACAAGTACTTGAGTTGTGACCAGGTCTACAGTCCAGCCATTTCTTATGATCGTATCAGTGGCGTACCGAGGGAGGGGGGGGGGACCCTCCCGAGAATGGGTCGCGAAATTTTGAAAGTTACTTATATGGGTTATAAAAATGTGCAATTGATTTGTTTACATTTGTAAATAATTAAAATAATTTTTAAAAATTTTTAAAAATTCAGATTAGCCTTGTAAAAAAAATTTTTCGGGGGCGTGGCGTCAGCCACGCCCCCTTTTTTAGAACTTTCGGGGTTCTGAGCCCGCGAAGATTTTAGGGAGCACACCAAAAAATATTTCGGAGTGCGTGGCTGAGGCCACGCACATTTATCGGAAAAATTTTTTGTCGCCTCCTCCCCCAAGCCGAAATCCTGGGTACGCCACTGAATCGTATGTGTCATTACTCGCAAAGTCCGCCGCCGTTCCTGTCATTGGTAGGTGCCAGAATTATTTTGTTCAGTCGGTATCGGGTTCAACCATTCGCTATTGGTCAAATCACTGAATTGATAATAGCCAATGAAGTGAATCGGATGAACCGATTGAACCGGATAGGTGTGGCCCCTTCCCCAGATTTTCAGCCAGGGAGCGAGGATGAAGGACTCAAATTGTTATGCTGCTTCATAGTCGCTCACGATATAAGAGTGAATTGAAAATAAAAAAACAATGAAAAATATATAACAGGATGTCTTTGATGACCAGGATGTGGACGGCATAGACAGGCACTGTGTGCAGTGAGACTTATGATCGTAAGAAATTACTGTGTAGAATGTCTATGATGATCGTAAGAAATTAGTGGACTGTAGAATGTCTGTGCTGTTTTGTGAGCAATTTTAATTTAGTTACGAGATGTCCAAGCATCGCACTCGCCCACCCTGCATGGGTATCCACAGGCGGACACGTTGCAATGTTGTGGATAATTCCGCCCTGGGCAAGGAAGCTCATATGTCAGGAAAACGAGCATACTGTATTGATGTATACAAACAAGGGCGGCGAAAAAAGCATTTACCGCATGCCACACTTGGAGATAAGGTACGTTGAGTGTCGAGACTTCCAAGGCATTGGTCGAAACAGATGGACATAGTAAGTGCTTGCTTCTTTATTCGATCTTTATTTTTATCAATCAAATATCGTTTAATCGAGATTCTTAGTTTTCGGGTTTGTTCGATAATGGCTAGCAAACTCGGCTCCGCCTAGCCCTGCCCATAATATTGCCCTAAACAGCATGCTCACTTACCATGTGTCAGCTCCTAAAGCCCTGTCCATACGTACAGCGATTTCATCGTCGCGATTTCATCGCCGAAGCATTTCGTGATTTTAGCGACGAAATCGCGACTATCAAATCGCTCATCGCGAGTTTTGGCCATACCTGCCTGTTTAGCGATAAGGTGAAAATACACACTCCAGACTCGTTCTACGGTTTCTTTTGGCTTTCAGAAGAAATATTTAGTGTGATTCCTTTACAGTTGCAGGTTTCTTCGTCTTTTTCGACACCAATAAGTTTTTTCATCAACAACTTATATTACTTTCTCGCGCATTTGCATTCATCATTCAACCTTTCTCATTAGATACAGGATGTAAAGCCAATTTTACCAATAGCTGCGGTTTCATACGTTGCTAATTTTTTCGCGATATTCAGACATCTAGATACTACGCATGCTGTTTAGTTACGAGCTTCGAACAACCAAAAATATTCATTTTGAATGATGGTACGAATTGGAAGAAAAGCGCAACACAACACGAAAGAAGTGCAATTTAAGAAATCTGCATTCCATCTTAACATCTCCGCAAAAAAAGTCGAAAGAAAAAAGAATTGTTCCAAAAACTCCCAAAAAAGAAATCCAATTTCAGCGATATCGCGCCGTCGCGGGTTTCAAAGTTGCGACGCGATATCGCAAGATTTCGGCCAAATCGCGACGATTTCGCTGGAATCCGTATGGCCTAGGAAAACACGGTCTGCGATCCGTCGCGCCGGACAGCTAGCACGACCGATATGCATGATTTGCCGGCATGAAATAGGGGGAATGGCAGTTGTCCGATTGCACAAATCGCATCGCGGTGATTTTTTTGATGGTATGGCCAGGGCTTAACCCCCATAGCTTGGAATTGGCAAAAGATCGATAAAATGATATCGATGGATAACAGAAAGTAGCCTACGACACCCTCCACACCCCAAGTATATGTGTGCCAAGTTTAGTTCGGAATGATTCAAAAATTGAGGGTGGGAGCGCCCTTCCTCCTCCCCCAAGGATGAAATGTGCAAAGGTAATTGTAGGATTCACTGTGGATACATACAACAAGAAATACATATTGAACCATGAGGAAATTGTAAACATCAAACATTTCCTTTCAAAATTTTATTCCACATACTCAAACCACTTCTTCATCAAAGAAGACTAAAAAGCAGCAAAACTAAGATTTCGATTGCAAGTATCTTAGAGGCCCTGGCCAGACTTCGCTCAAAAGCGCCCAAAAGCGCTCAAAAGTGCCCAGAAGCGCTCAAAAGTGCCCAAAAACGCGCAAAAGCGCCCAAACTTCTCTAACCTCTCCTCACTCTCTCTCTCATCTCTCCTCACACGAGAAAGTGAAGAGACACCAGAGAAATTTGGGCGCTTTTGCGCGCTTTCGAGCGCTTTTGCGCGCTTTTGAGCGCTTTTGCGCGCTTTTCGGCGCTTTTGAGCTAAGTCTGGCCAGGGCCAGAGAGTTAGAGTGTAATTTTGTGGTAAGTCCGATAAATAAAGCTGACAGTGATTGTAAGTTCATTCATATTCTCTATATTCAGAAACGGTGAATGAACTAAGCATAACTATAGTAGAAAAAACAAACTTACAGTTCTTTCCAATGTCACATATGATAGTATATACACATTAGAAAATGTCCATGAAATCATAGACAGACATAAAGCATTTTGCAAAAGTAACAAGCTACAACCTCAGAAGATCAACAACATTTCTCTTACATATGCTGTTCCAAAATTACCCCTAATTGGTACCACACAGAGTAACATCAAACCTTCAGCTATTGAAGTGATAACTGTTTTCATATTAAGATCGATGTCTTGTAGCCAACGCCGGGATTGTTAATCTTAGTTTATGAACTATGCCGAGATTTATCGAGAGTCGTACATGCTGTTTTCACATTTATAAGGTATCATTTTGAAAAATATTTGCAAGCCATAAAAAGGAATCACAACTTTCATAACTACTGGTTTATAGATAACATCAACATCATTGAAATGTTAACAAATATAAGCACGAAAAACATTGAAATTTAATCTGCCTACAAACTCGACAAATATGTTCTCTAACCTACCACATCCTTTATATAAAGCTGAATGTCTTTTTGTCTGTATGTCTGTCTGTGCGTCTGTCTGTCTGTATGTGTGTACGTATGTTCCGAATAGAAAATTTCATTTCTGAACCGATCCGGAACAAACTTGGCATACATACACTTCGGAAAGGGGCGGGTGTCATAGGCTACTTTTCGTCATCGATCGATGCCGATTTTATCGATTTTTATCGATTTTTTGCAAAGTTTGACCCACAGGGCTGAGAGTTGGCACAGGGAGGTAATCGAGCATGCTGATTACGAATAGAAAATCAGTCTCTAGAATTATTCGCTACTTTTATCGATTTTATCGTTTTTTTTTTGTAAGGTTTAAGTTACGGGGCTGGGAGTGGGCACAGGGGGGGGGGGTAATCGAGCACGCTGATTATAAAACAGCGGGAATGGGGAAATGGCATGTAGACGTGGGCACAGGAAAGGCTGTACAGGGACACGGATGAGAGCTTTATCATAGTGTTTTGACAGGGCCGAGCGGAGCCGGGCAAGCCAGTTAATCATATAATAAAACTGACTGATTCAACTATCATGTTTGAATATTCGTACATTTTACATCAAATATCTCAGTGAATATCAAAGAAGCAACAATATGTACAGAAACCCTAAGAATAGCTCGAACATATACGTATTTCACTGATTTCATGTTAAAAATCTCACACCTGACATATACTTGTAAAAAGTGGGTATGATATTCATATCAGAATCGTTTATCTTTGACCAGCCTTGCTTTTGCTTATGTTACGGAGTTCCGCTGCGCCTTGCAAATAGATATCTTATATATAAAGCTGAATGTCTGTTTGTCTGTCTGTCTGTATGTCTGTATGTCTGTCTGTCTGTCTATCTGTCTGTACGTATGTTCCGAATAGAAAATTCCATTTCTGAACCGATCTGGACCAAACTTGGCACACATACACTACGGGCCCCGGCGGGTGTCATAGGCTACTTTTCGTATCGATCGATATCGATTTTATCGTTTTTTTGCAATTGAGCTACGGGGCTGGAAGTTGGCACAGGGGGGTAATCGAGCATGCTGATCACCCCCACGGGGGTGATCAGCATGCTCGATTACACCCCTCTGCCAAATCCCAGCCCTGTAGCTCAAATTTTGCAAAAAATCGATAGAATCGATAAAAGTAATGCACGGTTTCGAAAACTAATATGTATTCGTAATCAGCGTGCTCGATTACACCCCTCTGCCAACTCCCAGCCCCGTAGCTCAAATTTTGCAAAAAATCGATAAAATCGACATCGATCGATAACGAAAAGTGGACTGTGACACCCGCCGGGGCCCGAAGGGTATGTGTGCCAAGTTTGGTCCGGATCGGTTAAGAAATGGAATTTTCTATTCGGAACATACGGCGGAGCCGGGTAAGTCAGCTAGTGAGTCTATAAGCCACGCATAAGGCGTTTCGTCTAGGCAAGGAAACGGATTTTTGTGCCTTTGAGACAGTTCTTATGACTGATGTCACGTGGCGCGATTTGAGAGTGCTGTGAGTAAATGCTGAATTTCAGTGTTTTCTTTGGAGTCGTAAGGCAATTTTATCTTATGAATGCGGTCTTCAAGCGGCACGTAGGGCACTTTTTTCCATATAGACATCTCTCTAAGCACCACGGAGGGCATTTTGATTGGGCAGGGAAACAAATTTTTGTACATTTGGGCAGTTCTTATGATTGCGGTTTTTAGGTGGCACGTAGGGCACTTTGGGATTACGTTGTGAGTAAATGCTTGATTTCGTATTTTTTTCTGTGAGTGAGTAAGATAGTTCTTTGTTAAGTAATTTCTTTTAAATATGCTCTTTGAAGGCAGTGTCTCGGCGAAATTTCGCTTTTAAGTTTTTCACATTTCCGGAGCCTTTTCGTCCTTTTGAGACCATATCTGGACTTCTCAGCGCATTAAAATGACTGGCTCTCCAAACCCGCGTTCGCTCAAAGCTACGTGTAAGTGAGCGGGGTTCGGAAGACTTCTGGAGTGGATTTTAAGCCTTCCAGATGCGCTTTTTCGCTGCAAACTTCACTGATAGATTATGATGAGGGTCTACTATTGCAATACTTCAAAATCTCAATACTCAGCTTTATGGAACAATGGCTTTAAGAGCACGCAGAGCACGTGCTTGTCGCCAATTTCGTCGCTTAAAAGTACCGATTACATTTGCCTAGACATCGCCAAATATTGTGACAACACAGCGCAAGAAAATTCTGTAGTCATGGCTTTTGGGGGCTCTTTTTGTAGTAAGATTCCAAATTCAATTTGACGAAATCCTAACTTGGGACTTTTCGACAAGTTTTGAGACAACTCATTTTGTTGCTGCCAAACTTGATTTTGGGAGAAAAGCTATGTTGTTTGTAGTATACATCATTGTTATGGATGTCCTTCCACTTCCAAAATGATGTGTATTCTCTTAATTTCCTAACGATCTTTCATGAGATTCGTTGGGAAAAACTGGATGAAGCAAATTTTTTCGAAAGGATGATATGGTGGAGTCTTTTTATTATCCGAATGAGTCTCCGTGAGAGGGGGGGGGGGGGAGAAGTGCGGAAAAAGCGAGAGAATCGAGAGAATTTTCCCATAATCTCGTATGGTCATGGCTTTGCTTTTGTCATATGGCTTTCGAAAATTGCTGAATGATTTGTGAAGTTTATCACTCCTCTAGCAGTTCTCCTTTTTGAAATGCTTTTTTACACAAATGTTCTCAGAAAGGAGTAGGAAAATTTTGTAGAAATATTTATAGTCACAACCAAACCTAATATTGCATCTGCCCCGACCGACTTGCTAGTGACCCGTAGGCTCGCTAGTAGTAATACCTTCTAGATTCAAATGCGTTGATACTCATATAATAATATCTTTTTCAGATGCTTACGTAGAAATCCATTCATTATACACAATATATTTGGGTACAAATCTTTCAAGACTTGGCAGATGATTGACTTAGATACCTAATAACTTGCATAGTCAATTTTAACCAATCCGCCAACCGAAACCCAAGAAGGAATTGATACGACTAATTATTGATTTACCAAGCGGAAATAAACCAGTCTAGACAAGTTCATTTTCAACATACGTCACAACCATTTCGCGGATCGTCGGAATAGAAAAGAAAATTTTTTGAGGAAAGGATGAGTCTTATCATTTTCCCAGAAAATTTTCAGAAATATCCTAGGCTATCTCTCTTTACTGAAGAGTCCCGGAGAGAGCTTAGAAATGAAAACTCCCTCTAAGGAAAGGGATGAAACGGAGAACACTCTATAAACTTTCTCTTTCTAATGTTTACTCTCAAGTAATTAAAATAATTTTCAAAATTTTTCGAAAATTCTAGTTATCCTTGTAAAATTTTTTTTCTAGATTGTAAGGATTACGGGCCCGCAAGAATTTTGAGAAGGACCCCAAAAAAATTTTCGGAGTGCGCTGACGCATGCACCTTTATGTGAAAAATTTTTTGCCGCCCCCCTCTCCCCCCGAAATCTGAGAACGCCACTGATACATGCAGAAAGACATTCAGCTCTATAGATAAGAAGCTGAGGACCTCCCGAAGTTTTCAGATTCTCGTTGCAATTCGTGGACAAATGCGGAAAGCTTACGTTGTTGGTGCACAAACACATGTGCATTTGCGAAAACACGGAGTACCAGTCACGGACACCAACAACATAGTTCTCTTAGATGAAGAAGGTTATTACGAAGACTTTGCAATATTCTTTATTAATTGGTGTGATACAGGTAACCCACTTGGAAATCGAATTTCTATACCGATTCCTGTAAAACTCTTGGAGAAAAAGGATAAGCCACAATTTGCGAAGGTTCTCGCTCTAGCTAATAAATTTGTCTGATGATACAAACAGCATTGCCTGGACATTACGATGAAGTATTATTATTCTGTGTTCTTATGTAACAATAATTGGTATAACATCATGACATAACAACGGAAACAGCAGTGCGTCCTTAGATTGGATTAACACCGCTGGGGAAACAAACAGTATGCATATGCTGAGACTAAGCCAATAGCGAGATCATAATACGCATAACTATACAAGTATATTAAATGTCTCTGGTAAAACATACTAAAGACTCAACAGACTGGGTCCGTTTGCATATAACAAAATCAACAAAAATCTCAACGAAACAATTGCATATGAAGGATACTCTACTGTTTTGAGGAACTTCTTGATAGGCGAGAAAGTGGTTTTGGTCGTTTGAGAGTGACTGGTTCAGAGCTCTCAGTGGATTGCGGAGCAGGCTTCTTCAATATAAAGACCTTTTTAGAGCGACAAAAAGAAATGCGAGATAGCAAATATAGCGTATGCAGTAATCGATTTGAAAAATTCTGCAAGCTACTTTTTTTGGAGGATGCATTATGTTGAATCATGACTCAATTTTCATATGGCTCTAAATCTAGTGATTTTAGTAACCCTCTCAACTTATGTGTGCACAAATAACGCGAGCTTTGCAGATGCGCGGCACAACGCGATATGTGACTCCATAGATAAGCTGTGGGCTTAAATTGATAAGAGGTCTATTCATCAATGAACTCTTAAGTTGAAATCAACCTTGAGAGGCTACTGAGGCTATACTTCAATCTAACTCTTGAAATATTAGTTGGTGCAAAAGTTCTTTCCCCCCATTTTCAAAAATTCATAACTTCTGATCTTTTCAACCAATTTGGCTGCGTTTATTTTTGTGTGAAGGAGTAACTCATGCTCTTCATAATGACATCTTAACTGCTTGCTAATGATCATTTGTTGCATAGATAGGAGCGATAGAAGAAAATTAGTCAAAATTTGAATTTTCTGTGTAGGGTCATAAAAAATCGGAAACTTGAGGAAAAATCGGAGCAGTCAGTATTATAGGTTCTTTCAACAGCTCTTTCTAATGGTGCAAACTTTGCGTCGGTTGAGCGTCTCTATCAAAAGTTACAATTTCCCTGAAAAATGCCAAAATAAATCAAAATCGCCCTTTTGTATTGCTTGCTCGAAAATCATAACTTCTGATATAGATGCTCAATCGCTGCAAACTTTGCACCATTAGAAAGAGCTGGTAAAAGAACCTACAATACTGACTGCTCCGAATTTTTCTTGTAAGTTTCCGATTTTTTATGACCCTACACAGAAAATTCAAATTTTGACTGATTTTCTTCTATCGCTCCTATCTATGCAACAAATGATCATTAACAAGCAGTTAAGATGTCATTATGAAGAGCATGAGTTACTCTTTCACACAAAAATAGATGCAGCCAAATTGGTTGAAAAAATCAGAAGTTATGAATTTTTGAAAATGGGGGGAGAGAACTTTTGCACCAACCTAATATATAGTTGTAAATAAGGGTATGCAGTGATAAATCCTCAAGATAGATTTTGACCTTTGATATCGTTGATGAATACAGCCGCTGGTGTCAAATATATTAAAGAGAGATACGTATACAAACTCCGTGAAAGATTTTTTCGCAACGGATGAGCGAACGAGTTCAAAGGAAATAGAAAACTGGTTATGGAAATAACCCATGTCCTTCGCGGGGGTCTGCGTACACAACTCTCAATTCACGCTAAGATACCAACGAACCTTGCATGGCGGAGATAGGACTGTTTCCACAGATTTCTTCGACTTCGTACTTGCTAGTTCAGCGGGATTAGAATCGGTGGCAGTCTGAATAAGGTACAACGAATAAGTGTTTTTCTATTTTTACACTTTTTTCTCTAAGTTCATGTAACTTTGACATATAGTAATAAAGAAAAGCCAATTCACATTGTTTCTGCTTGCGTTGTTATTGCTCACGACTTTCTCGTTGGATGGAACCACCGCCTTTGGCTTTATCATAGGTCTTCGATCACGTCGTAGCAACACTCCATTCTGACCACCTTCCTCAGCAGTCTCTGCATGATCTTCGGGCTCCTGATTAGATTGATTATATCAACACACACGACCGCAATGTGAGACTACTTACCTTCTGAGTATCAAGACCAGATTCTGCCTTGGATGTCAGGATTGCTGGTTTGAAGGATCTTTTGCCACGTCTTAGTAGGTGGCCACTACTTACGGCAGATGCCGTTGCTGCTATAGCCTGCTGGGTACCATCTCCTTGCGAAACTGTCATGTCCTACAAAAACGTGTAATACAGAATAAAATTGATCAACAATACATAAAAAGTATACTACGAATTATCTGCCCATTGTAGACCTACCTCATTCGTGCTCATAGACTCCTTCAGCATCTCTATATTGACATGCTCCTTGGCATGGTTTTCTGCTTTGGGTCTTATGAGAGGCGGTCGACCTTTCCGAGAGAGCTTTCTTACTAATTCAACAGTTTTCTCCGATGCTCTTTCTGATTTTTTGAGCGTAGGCGCCTGCACATAGATATTTAGGCACTGGAGAGATACGATTATAGCTAACCAAAGACACATCATTAGCAGGAGCAATTTCTTCGGAAGACAGTGGATTGATAAGTTCATCCGTATGCGCTGTCATGCGCTCTACTTGGTCACGATTCACCATATGAGAATCTTGTGAAGGGTTCGCCACCTTATCGCTCTATAGTACAAATAACTTGGTGAATCTTATATATAAAGCTGAATGTCTGTTTGTATGTATGTCTGTATGTCTGTCTGTCTGTCTGTCTGTATGTATGTGTGTACGTATGTTCCGAATAGAAAATTCCATTTCTGAACCGATCCGGACCAAACTTGGCACACATACACTTCGGGCCCCGGCGGGTGTCATAGGCTACTTTTCGTCATCGATCGATATCGATTTTATCGATTTTTATCGATTTTTTTGCTGAGTGCACCTACGGGGCTGGGAGTTGGCATAGGGGGGTAATCGAGCATGGGGATTCCGAATACAATATTGGTTTTCAGGATTATCGATTACTTTTATCGATTTTATCGATTTTTTTGCAAAGTTTGAGCTACGGGGCTGGGAGTTGGCACAGGGGGGTAATCGAGCATGAGGATTCCGAATACAATATTGGTTTTCAGGATTATCGATTACTTTTATCGATTTTATCGATTTTTTTTGCAAAGTTTGAGCTAGGGGGCTGGGAGTTGGCACATGGGGGTAATCGAGCATGGGGATTCCGAATACAATATTGGTTTTCGGTATTATCGATTACTTTTATCGATTTTATCGATTTTTTTGCAAAGTTTGCGCTAGGGGGCTGGGAGTTGGCACAGGGGGGTAATCGAGCATGCTGATCATCCCCGTGGGGGTGATCAGCATGCTCGATTACACTCCTGTGCCAAATTCCAGCCCCCTAGCTCAAATTTTCAAAAAATCGATGAAATCGATAAAAGTAATGGACGATCCTGAAAACTAATGTTGTATTCGGAATCCCCATGCTCGATTACCCCCCTGTGCCAACTCCTAGCCCTGTAGGTGAACTCTGCAAAAAATCGATAAAAATCGGTAAAATCGACATCGATCGATAACGAAAAGTGGACTGTGACACCCGCCGGGGCCCGAAGTGTATGTGTGCCAAGTTTGGTCCGGATACGGCGGAGCCGGATAAGCCAGCTAGTAGTATGTATTTAGCTAACGCAAGCGGATCCTAGAACCTAACCGGCGGGTCTGCTGAAGTTGACTGCATAGCATCGCAAGGTTCGTCCGAAGGTTGAGAGCTGGTATCAAATGGAGTTTCTGCGTTAGCCGCATCCTAGAGCAGACGAATGTGCAAATAAAAAATCAAAGGGCAGAAACATTGAGTGATTTACCTGATCACTAGCACTAAATCCTTCATCATCACAAATTAGTGAATGATGTTTGTTATCAGCAAACATTTCTGCCTTTAAGGATATTGATGACGTCGGAGAATCCACATCTCCTTTCTGAAAAAAGTAGGAGAAGCTAATGAGTCAAGATAATGTCAGGGGCGGTACTTATCAATCTACTATATGGAAAGGGGTGTTCCTGTACAGGTTCAGCCCGTATCGGCGCGCCCGCGATAAACAAAGCCAAGCTGGTGATCGGGCTTCTGTCTGTTCGAAGACATGGTCCCCTCTGGAGGCAGCTGCCCGATCGCGCCCGATCTCGACAGGTTGGGCTCTGCTGCATGTTTGGGGCACGAGCCTCACTTTCATAAATCATGGGATGGCGCTTTTGCTCTTCTGAGCACTCGTTAATAATGGCCCGAACAGCCAGTGGGAGATTGATAAATAGACCTAGGAGAGCGTAGGTAGTTCAACGATTAAACTACCATTTCTTAAGCAGTAGTTTTGACGCGTAAATCAAAATATAGACCAAAATACATGCCCCGTATTGAAAAGTCACGCATTCCTGCGATGTGACACAAACTAACCTTCGCCAAAACAGTATCTGATGAAGCGCTGACTGCAGACCTGTGCAGACCTGCAGTAGCCAGATTTGGACGAACCAATCGACCATATCGTGCGCTGTAACAAGAAAAATCTACGGTAGTGTTCTTTGTAACAGCTTCTTCCTTGTAAAACTTCCCATGAGATGTGGTAAGCTGTTTGAAATTGACCCCTTTCTTATTCCTGCTGATCTGAACTCCGTTTTTGGCAAACAAACTAACACAGAAGCGGATTAGTTCAAGCTAGCATAGTGTAAACTGAGGTGTTCGCGAAGAGGGTGATGTATACTTGTAAAAATCTAGATTGACCCAAACCTCAGCCTTTTGTCAATCTGGTAAACAATAAAAAATGCTTGAAAGGTGTTTTTCGAACGCAAGTTGACTACTTGCTAACAGCGAGGCGAAATAGTCTTTTATCTCTAAATAAACAGGGTAACCGCCTTTGGGTAATTTGACTTCCATGATTTTGGGGTACTTTTTCCCATACACGGGCCCATCTTATCAAAATTTCTCAAGAAAAAAGTGCTGCAGCCCAGAAATTTTTTCTCATAGACCTTCTGAGGACTGTTTTTGCCACGTGTCAAGATAAAAATCAATACGTTTAGGCCATTTCGACATGTTCTTTGAAAATCATTTCGAGGTACGAGAGCATTTAAAGTGACTCGAGAGCTGCTCAGAGGTCTTACATAAAAGCAGAAGTTCTAACGTTTATTAAATCATCTTGGTAGCCTTCAGCAATGATTTAAAGAGATCCTGCTCTTAACATTGGTTCCGCATGCTAATTTAGCGGATAAGAAATATAAATGATTGCTTGGAGTACCTGGCTGCCGATTTTTTCGTCGTTTTGATGATAGAACAGTAGGATACTTTTCTGTTTTGCACCTGATGTGTTTAACCAACACAGAATGTAATTTTCATGATATTGAAGTTCATTCATCAGACTGTCAACTAAAAATGGGGTCATTGAACAGACTGAACTAAAACTGATAGGTAAGCTAAACAAATTCTTGGTAAAATCTGTTAAACATGAAGATGACACGTCATTTTTCCTGACATGTGGCACGAGGTTGACTTTCCGTCCTGTAAGTACTTACTAAATTTGGTGAGAAAAGAAGCAATATCCGAAAAATGGGACCGGCTAACGGAAAAGTACCGATTTTGGAATTGAAGTCCGCCATTATGTACAAGGGGAACTCGAGAGGATGAAAAACTGTGCTAAAACCAGTGTTGAGTCAGCTTCATAGCAAATTCAAATTCTCTTCAAAAGCGGCGCGCTACTCTAAAGAACATCGCACTTTCATCAAGAGAATAAAGTTGTTTTTTACCGAGAAGTTAGCATGACTTATAGACCCAAAACACCCAGAGTGATAACAAAGAAATGAGTGTAAACATTGTGATTACCCACCGGCTGAGAGGTATAGGTTTCTTAAAATCCTGCGACTGCGAATCAGTTTCATTCTGAAGCAGAGGCATAAAAAAGTCCGCGGCTATCACTGCATGCACGCGAGTTTCGTGCTTACCGTCATGGTCGATTCGATTTTGAGGGCAACTTTGAGCGCTGACGGATCCTTCAGCGGTTTATTGCGCCTACTTATTTCTCGTTCCCTTCGGGTCATGTTTTCGGGCGTTATGGGGCTCGTTATAACTCGACTCAGAGTGGGTGAGGCGCTTTCCTAAGAATAGCAGAGATAGCAAGCAAACCAAAAAAAATTCTAATCACATACAGACATCATCTTGTCCATGCCTAGTGTCGAAACAAGTTCGTTGACATTCTGTAAAAATTTATTTGACCAAGGAAGTCTCTGTAAAGGCTGTGTTCATACTGATACGGCTGTTCGGGAACAATTCCACCACAGCGCCCATTTTGAGCTCTGTGCTGGAACTTTTCCCGAACTTCGGATTAGTATGAACGCAGCCAATGAGCGAAACTCACCTCGATTACTTGGCTCTTTACTCTCTCTAGCCCATCAACACCACTGGCCGTTTGCTCAATCTCTTTCAGAATGTCATAATTGACTTTGTTTGATAGTTTCTTTTCCTGGAAAGATTCAGATTTCTCCAGATAATGTTTGGTAACCGTGTTGATGCAGACATGTATAATCTTTTCCATTGCTTCGATAGCGGTGTTTGAAGAGAGACTCTTTCTTTGTGGTACCGGACGACGCCGCTTTTTCTTCGTTGGATTATCCTTTTCTCTTTCCTCTTCCTCCTCACGCTCCTTTCGCCTGGAAGGAAGCGAAAAGATTAGAGACAACAAGAGAAAAAGATGCCAAGATTCATAATTTTGAGACATCAAACTTTTTGTTTCGCACTACGGTAGTGTTCTAATCCAATAGCACCAATTTCCGTGATGAAAACTCGCAATCAGGAGTTGAATTTCCTCTCACCTTCTCTCCATCTCCTTCAGATGCTCGCCATTGAGTTTCATCCAAAACCTTTCCTTCATTTCGGATTCCCGCGTTGTTAGAATATAAGTATCTATTTCGTCATCATCAATACCTATTTATTCGATTACAGCTTAACATAAACTCGTTCGAATAAAAACTAGAAAACCACGAACCTGTAAGATCAAGTGAACCGTCTGGAGTATCTTGTGCCGGCAGTGGTGCGTAGGTCCTCGCAATGCCATTAGCTGGTGCTTGCGTTATTCCAAGCGATTGCAAAGAAGGAGCATATTTACTGTAGCTGTTCGTTTCGTTGCTAAAAACTGCTCATTTGGTTATTCAGTCCTTTGATTAGAAGGCACATAATCACTATCGCTCACCTTCTCTCTTCTTCTTCTTCGTCCACAGCTCGGAACACAGTATCTACAACTTCATCGCGAAGCAAAGCTTCTTCAGCTGTTCCCACCTCTGAATCTTCTGAAAAGCAAGCCACTTTTATACGGATGTCTGTAATGTGTGTATGTTTCAAGTAAAAAACCCCCCTCCTTTGGACTAAAACCTGAAGACATACAATGAAGGACAAGACGAACAATACAAGTACTCTTCTTTCGACGTTAATAATTTTAATCGAAAGATATTGACTGCTTTAGATCATGCTCATGTTCAATGTTGAAAGATAAGGAGGGTTTCAAAGAAAAGAGATAAGGATTTTCTAAAATTCTGTGAATGGATTCAGATGACCAGCTAACACCGCAGCAGGTGGTATACTAAAGTATCGCCATCTTGACCATCATTTTTCTTGCAAAAATCTAGGGAAGAAAAAAGAAGAATGATTTTCCGTCTTACCTAGATCACCAGCTACTATTTTAGCATAACGCGTTTGTTTGAACTTTTCTCTTCTTTTCTTTTCCAAAGCTCGCTCCAGCTCCTCCTCGATGGGAATTATCTGTAGTATCGTATTTGACGCACAACATCGTAGGCAGGCCCGACACTCATCCTGTTCAACCGGTTCACCCAGCTAGTGGAAAATCACTAAATTACCAATAGGAAATGAGTGAACTGGATGAGTCGATTGAACCGGATAAGTATGGCGCCTACCTTACGAAGGTACCACAGAAATCAAATTTTGACAAGTGAGCATCCATCACAAAATCACCTCTTTTTCCATTCTAGCAGCCATTTCAGCTTCTTTGGCTAACTGCTCCTCACGCGCCTTTCTCCTGGCCTCCCGAAATGCCGGAGGATCTTCGCAGTGCTCCTGAATAATCAAAATTGATTTTTGCACAGCGTCGTCGAGGAATACTTACCAAGTCAATGGTGGAAAACTCGTCGATAGTAAGCATGCCGGATGGAGTCTGACTAAACTCTTCCAACCTTTTCCTCACTACAGTCTCACTAATATGCACTACTTTCACAACATCACCGATAGTTCGGTTGAAGTTGAATGATCTTAAAAGAAAAATCCGTAACTAACACTGAGTGGTATAAGTCACCTTGCCGCTAGCAGCAAAGCTGCACCGCAAAGTCCCGTTGGTCGGCGTCCAGTAGACATCCAGTCGCGCTTCATGCGTTGCACTAATCGCGTGGCTAGATTAACCACCTAAGACAAAATAAATTGCAGTAAGAAAGAAAAATGAGTCAAGAAGATGCTGACTTGCCTCTTTTTGTTTATCTCCAAACTCCAACAAACAAGCAAATCGCATTACATACAGGCACGGATCAGTCGATGGCAGATTGATTCGCAACGATCGCGACAAAAAACTGAGGGTACGACCGAGATCGAACACATTCACCTGTAAACCGATTCGACGATTTCTTGAAGTGAAAAATACTGCAAAGTACCTGAGTAACATCGCTAAAATCAAGCAACAAATGCGCCGTATTTTCCAAACGACAAGTCATATATAAACAAGCAACAACAACATGAGATCTGCAGGAAAAATAGTTGTTTTTAACAAAAAAAATTGTTCAAAAACGGACCTGACGCGACCACGAGTAAGATTGCGACTGACAGACATCTTAAAGAAATTGTAGGCAGTATCGATGCAATGTTGATTGATGCGGAGTTGACTAGCAATCTTCAGAAAATTGCAATGTAAGAAGTTGAAGCTACGTGAAAACCAAAACGGCGTACTTCTTCAATGAGCTTACGTCCCTTCGCAAAAGTGACCTCTCGTGATTCTTGGGAAACCAAACCTCCCGACCGAGCCTGTGACTGTGCTCGCTCTGCGGAAACAAACTGACCTGAAACCTTCATCTCTACATCTCAGAACCTCAAAATTTGTCAAGAACATAGAACGAATGAACGAATATATTAAAGATATCGGATCATGAAAAAATCTTTTAGATTTAACATACCAACTAAAGTATGTCCGGATCCACCAGCTCGCTCTTGAAATTGATTCTCCGACACCACAATAGACTCTTCCAGTACAGTTCCACATGCCATACAAGTAGCATCTCCTGCAAATCAAACCAAGAGGCTTAACAATCATCAGAAGCATAAGTTACACAAGGTATCTATGATGGGGAAATCCATGAAAAGATAAAAGAAGGAGAGCAACATTACCTCTGGCAGCATCTTCATCGATGTCGGAAGAACCACAGTGCGGACATGTCCGCGTCATTTCAACAAGGAAGGAAGTAAATGAGATCTCTCGTTTTCACTGGAATAGATCACGTTGTGATGCTTCAATAGTCTAGAGTAATAACGCCAAAACCAGATAGAGAAGTTAGAAAATTCTACTGCCCATTATCACCATGTCCTCGCTGAGTTCACTCAGCCTACAATGTGAGATCAGAGAGTTTTGGGGTTAAGCGATGGAGGGTCACTTCGGAATAGATTTGACTCAAGCTCAGTCATGCTTTTGCTGATGGAATTCAAGATTGTATGAACCATCACATCCATGGCGCAAGCGCTTGAAGTACTTTAGCACGTGGAAGGCGCAAAATCGCTGCTATCATGTTAAAAGTGAAAATACAAGATTCGCTATATTCTAAAGTAGCTTCTCCTCCTCGAATTTGGGTTGACATAGGTATATCGTTCGGACCAAGAGTGACGGAAGTTCTAGTTGGTCTAAAAGACGTCTGCACCAAAAACACTCAAACGTGTCTTTCAGGAGTACCAATTCAGGAGTGACCGTAGATTCACCCTTAGGAGGGATTACTTGCGATTGGGGCAGGAATCTTATTTGGAGCACGTGATCTTTCTTACCCAACTATGAGGACGCCTTTGCGAATACACTCTTTTCACCTTCTTTTAACCTATCATCTGCAACTCTACTCCCCATACGACGAAGTTTAAGCATGCTAATCCTTTGACTTTAGTAAGAAATGCAGTTGCAAACGCAATTTGCACGTATTATCTAAACCACTGAGAATGCCTTGATGTTGGTTTTTTGAACCTCATGGTTGTCTGCACATCATGACTGTTTGAACCTTATAACAAATGGTTTTATCACGTTTTTGTGCGTAATGCACACCAGGTAGATATTCGTTTCACTCTTTTTATTTATGGTGTAGGGGAGTCATCGCGCGTAGAGACGTCCGAGCTAGTTTAAAAGTTTTATTGAAGTTTTGTTGAAAACGCTTGTTTTGAGAGACGCCGCTAGCGTCCGCGGCGAGCGCTGTCTCTGCTTGCAATGAATCGTCTATACTATTCCAATACAATGATCTTAAGAACTGAAAGTCTCAGATTTGCTGAAACTTCTTATAGGGGCGTTATTTTGCATGCTGATAACGGATATGATATCCATTCGTTGCGGTAATCCCTTATAGTGCGGTTACGGAGTGAGTATCGTGCATCCCCAGAACTGTTCCCATATGAACCATCAACGTGGTGCCTTTGATCATTTTAACATGTTAATTTCAGCAAATTTAAGGCACTTATTTGAAATTGACATGTTAAAATGAACTAAAGACAGCAATGTTGATGGTTCATATGGGAACAATTCTGGGGATGCGCCATAGGTATGGGGTGAAAACCACATATACTGCAGAAACTCTTATATAGGCGTTGTTTGACATACTGATTACGAATGTCATGACCTATAAGCGCTGATTCCTCTTGGTGGAGTTTCGATAATTAGAAGAGATAAGCACCTTCGTGGAGTCAGGACATACCCCCCCCCCCCCCACCCCTTTCCACGTTCCAAGCAGATATAGCAGATTCATCGCACGCAAAGACTGCAGACATATCGGCGTCTCTGTGAACAAGCGCTCTTTCGTTTCTCTTGCCATCTGCTGTCTCTCCCAGGCGCGAGCTATCTTGGTCGGACGCAACGGCGCCCAGTCTTTGCGTATTTTGAACCGTCGGTACCTGATTCTGGCCCTTTACGTATACTACCGTAAACCCACGATAAGGATTACATAGCGGATGAAAGTCATATCTGCGGTCAGGTCAATTAACTCCTCTACACGAAGTTTCGGCAGAATCTTTTCCCAGTTTGCGGTCGGTATGCTAGATTAGCTCCTTGTTTGTAATGCTTTTGCTGGCTTTGTATGTACTGAGCGCATTGAACTGTTGTACAACTGTTTATGTTCTTTACACTCCGCTGCTGTGGGGCTGCAAATGTACGAGAAGTGTTTGCATATTTCACTCATGTATGTACTTGTTTTTAATTGTTAATGTGTTTCAATCACTGGACGTCAAGCTTGAGATGCACACAATTCCAAGGGAGCCGAACAGAACAGTCCTCCATGGTAAAGTTATGAAACAGAGCGAGGTCTTTTAGTGCACTTGTATAACTGAAAAAAGCATCTAGGAAGTCTACGAAGTGAAAACACAGCTGATTGAGATAACCGCAATCATTGTCGAAATTGTCGATGTTAGGTGAAAATGAGGAGTTTTGGCTGATATATTGTGTGTTACTAAAGTCATATATTTAGCATGCTTGAAGTCCGTCACATGGACAGCAGAGTTGCAGGTAGTAGATTAAAGACGCAAAAAGAGTTAATTTGCAAAGGCGCCATCAAAGTCAGGAAGGAAAGATAACCTACTCCAAAGAAAAATTTCTGCTCCAACGCAAGTAATCGCTCCTAAATTGAATCTACGATCACTCGCAATTCAGACCCATCTAGGATATTTCTGCTTATTTCCAGAGACATTTAGAAAAGCGAAGTTGAAGTGCCAAAGACATTTTGAGTCGAGGGACAGTGCGTCCGTCATATAGTGCGTGTAATCACGTAACTTCTCAAAATACGCCATAGGTGGGTAAAACTCTGCGATTCGTTTGGGGAGCTGGTGTTGTCCATACCTAGTCTCAATCACTCTATTATAAAAGCTGATTGAGAGCCTATTTCTGCTTAGGCAAAAGCCGCCGAAGGATGTACCGCGCGCGGCAGTGGTCCTATAAGGAAAGCATCACGGTCGTGGGAAACTTTTATACCACACGAATTGCCTTTATCGCGGGGATTGAGCACGATATTCTTTGTACAGCACTTTAGGTAATTCCCTGCCAAGGTTTCAGGCAGGTTTATGATTTTTACCCGCTGCCACGCGATGACTATGATATTGTGTTCGGCCATTTGCTGTTTAGGTGGCCGAACCCGTACCATCAATCAACCTGCAGTAAAGCGGCGGGTACGGGCCAGCAGGGGTCAGCGGGGTGTAAGCTTCGGCAGTGTCACAATAAACGTTCATAGCGACGTGTTGTGTTATCTCCCAGTTATAAGTTGCCCTATAGTGGCACAATTCTGGTGCATCGGCCAAATTACTGAGCCACCACTTGCTCTGCGAAAGCAGCAGCAAACAACGTTCTATCCTACGTGGATTTTGAACACAAGTGCTTTGCTTTAATGGCAGCACATTGGGTTAATAACCTAGGGACACTTCTCCCACATTCGCGCATATAGCGAACAAGGCTTAGTAGAAAGCCAAATATTTCCGTTGCTGGCAAGGAAGCCTCAACGATATTTAAAAAAAATGTCTCTTCACTTCTTTAAAGAGGAAATTTCATCTTTGTCAGAATTACTTACGAGCGTCTTGAGCCAGTATGGCTATTTAAGTGAATTCGTTCCTGATCTAAATCGCTGTCGAGAGCTATCTCAAGAATGTTTCGGCAGATTGGATTTACTCAATACATGCCTACCGCAAGTGAAAGTGCTTGCAAAATTTCTACAGTCACAAGTAGATGAATTATCAGACTTCTACATGGCACATTGCTATGAACAGAAACAGTTCATAGCGCGTGAGATAGAAGTATTTGAAGAAGAGATCGGATTTTACGACATACTTTCCAAAGCAGATGTACTCATTGGTATGGTGGAGCATCAGATGATATATGCTCGAGCATACGCAAAGAAATACGCGAATTCATCGATTTCACATGCAGAACAATGCAAAATTGTTTTTACCGGCATTTGCCCAACAACTGGGGAGCGGCTCAAGCAAGAGAATCCCATAGATCCCGATGCAAAAGAAAAAGACAAGGCAAGCAAAACTGCGCTCATAAACAACTATAATGAGCAATGCAATACTTACTGTACAACTCGTACGCACAAAACCTGTGCTGATGTAAAATTTGACAAAAATTCCCATAATGAAGTAATTCTGGCGCAATCCAATGCTGCCAGCAGCGAACACTATCCGCTACCAGAAAAATTTTTTGAAAGGGCCAGCGAAAATACGCAGAAGCCGCAATTCTGGTGCATCGGCCAAATTACTGAGCCACCCTTGCTCTGCGAAAGCAGCGGCAAATAACGTTCTATCCTACGTGGATTTTGAACGCAAGTGCTTTGCTTTAATGGCAGCACATTAGGTTATTAAATAACCTAGGGACACTTCTCCCACATTCGCGCATATAGCGAACAAGGCTTTGTAGAAAGCCAAATATTTTCGTTGCTGGCAAGGAGCCTCAACGATATTTAAAAAAATGTCTCTTCACCACTATAAAGAGGAAATTTTATCCCTGTCAGAATTACTTAAGAGTTTTCTGAGCCAGTATGGCTATTTAAGTGAATTTGTTCCTGATCTAAATCGCAGTCGGGAACTATCACAAGAATGTTTCGACAGGTTGGATGTGCTCAATGCATGCCTTCCGCCAGTAAAAGTCCTTGCAAAATTTCTACAATCACAAGTAGATGTAATAGATTTCTACAAGGCACACTACTATGAACAGAAACAGTTCATAGCGCGTGAGATAGAAGTATTTGAAGAAGAGATCGGATTTTACGACATACTTTCCAAAGCAGATGTACTCATTGGTATGGTGGAGCATCAGATGATATATGCTCGAGCATACGCAAAGAAATACGCGAATTCATCGATTTCACATGCAGAACAATGCAAAATTGTTTTTACCGGCATTTGCCCAACAACTGGGGAGCGGCTCAAGCAAGAGAATCCCATAGATCCCGATGCAAAAGAAAAAGACAAGGCAAGCAAAACTGCGCTCATAAACAACTATAATGAGCAATGCAATACTTACTGTACAACTCGTACGCACAAAACCTGTGCTGATGTAAAATTTGACAAAAATTCCCATAATGAAGTAATTCTGGCGCAATCCAATGCTGCCAGCAGCGAACACTATCCGCTACCAGAAAAATTTTTTGAAAGGGCCAGCGAAAATACGCAGAAGCCGCAATTCTGGTGCATCGGCCAAATTACTGAGCCACCCTTGCTCTGCGAAAGCAGCGGCAAATAACGTTCTATCCTACGTGGATTTTGAACGCAAGTGCTTTGCTTTAATGGCAGCACATTAGGTTATTAAATAACCTAGGGACACTTCTCCCACATTCGCGCATATAGCGAACAAGGCTTTGTAGAAAGCCAAATATTTTCGTTGCTGGCAAGGAGCCTCAACGATATTTAAAAAAATGTCTCTTCACCACTATAAAGAGGAAATTTTATCCCTGTCAGAATTACTTAAGAGTTTTCTGAGCCAGTATGGCTATTTAAGTGAATTTGTTCCTGATCTAAATCGCAGTCGGGAACTATCACAAGAATGTTTCGACAGGTTGGATGTGCTCAATGCATGCCTTCCGCCAGTAAAAGTCCTTGCAAAATTTCTACAATCACAAGTAGATGTAATAGATTTCTACAAGGCACACTACTATGAACAGAAACAGTTCATAGCGCGTGAGGTAGAAGAGTTCATAGAAGAGAGCGACTTTTACGACATACTTTCCAAAGCAGATGTACTCATTGGTATGGTGGAGCACCAAATGATGTATGCTCGAACATTTGCAAAGAAATACGCGAATTCATCGCGTTTACATGCAAAACAATGCAAAACTGTTTTTACCGGCATTTGCCCAACAACAGAGCAGCCTGAGAATCCTGTGGATTCCGGTGCAAAAGAAAATGAGGAGGCAAGCAAAATTGCACTCGAGAACGATGATAATGAACAATGCAGTACTTATTGTTCAAAAAATCATGCACAGGGGACCTGTGCAGATGTAAAACTTGACAAAAAGTCAATCAAAGTCGCCGGAAATGAGAAAATGGCGGCGCAACCGAATGCGGCCAGCAGCGAACAGTACCACCTCCTATCAGAAGAATATTCTGAAACGGCTAGCGAAAACACCCAGAAACTGCAACTGTTTCAAATGACATCTAACAAACTTGCCGATCGTAGCGATCGGCAACAAAGATCTGAGCGCGAAATACCCACGAATCGTGGAGCAAAAGACGAGGCAAACAAAATTGCGCTTACAAGCGATTATAATGAAAATTGCAATATTTATCGTGCAAAAAATCGTACGCACAAGGCCTGTGCAGATGGAAAACTTGACGAGAATCTACTCATAGGCGCCTCCAATAAAGAAACAGCTGCGCAAACTATTGCTGTCAGCAACGTGGAGTACATCCTATCAGAAAAATATTCTGAAAAGGGTAGCAAAAATACGCAGAAACCGCAATTATGTAAAATGATATCTAGTAAATTTGCCGATCATAGCGATCGGCAAGAAAGACAGTGTTGTCACCTTGTTCCATTACTTACTTCGCCAAATTCTCGGCTCATCTCCTGCAACGAAGTGGTTCCCGTTTTCACGCGCACGTACCCTCGTCAACGGCCAGCGAGGGACCCCGACAAGAACGCCAGAAGGACATGGAATGGCACCCACCAGATGAAGGACATGCCCAATTACCCCGATGAAGATGCAAGATCACCACCATCCTATTCAACTGTTTGTATTCTGTCAACAACTATTCTGCCCACCGTCGATGCCAACTGCCCCTCCAACGCCGACTCGCTATCGCCAAATACCGCAAATCCACCAACTTCAACATCACAGACGCAATCCACGACATCCAAACAAGAAGAAGAGACCTCTCTAGTGATAGCATTTTATTTATTCGTTCCATTGTTATTATGATTATTGCCCCTGCCCCGGCCGGAGTGTTCGGCCATTTGCTGTTTAGGTGGCCGAACCCGTACCATCAATCAACCTGCAGTAAAGCGGGCGGGTACGGGCCAGCAGGGGTCAGCGGGGTGTAAGCTTCGGCAGTGTCACAATAAACGTTCATAGCGACGTGTTGTGTTATCTCCCAGTTATAAGTTGCCCTATAGTGGCACATATTGTCGTCAGCGGCTCAAATAACCCCCATATACCGAGTTTGAGCATGATCCATCACAAAAACATTTTGGGTCCCGGATAGCCGAATAACGCCATCAGTTTTTAGAATTATCCTTACTTTTATCGATTTTATTGTTTTTTTTGTGCAAAGTTTGAGCCACGGGGTTGGGGGGTTGGTGAGGAAGGTAGGTGAGCTTATTGATTACTCAGGCAGCGGGAATAGGGAATGTAGATGTGGGCACAGGTAAAGGTGTACAGGGATAGAAATGGAACCTTTATCGTTTTTGACAGGGCCAGGCGGAGCCGGGTAAGCCAGCTAGTAGCTGATATATTGTACGTTCTTTTCGGTGTAAAATTTTCTCAAAGCCTTAGCAGCTTTTTCCGTCAAAGCATTGGAGGAAAGTGGACGATTCGCGTCCATACTGCTTTCCACACAGGACCACTGTCGCGCGCGGAACACTGCGGTGGCTTTTGCCTAAGCAAAGCCGGCGGAAGAAAGATTTGCGGCGTGCTGACGTGTTAAGACAAGTCAAAATCAGGATAGCGCTGGAGACCGCTGGTGAAAAGACTGTCTTCCACAAGAGCTTAATTTCCTCATCACTCTAGCCTTAAAATATCAGTTCTTCTTTCCCAATTTCTTAGCGAAAATGCACAAAGTTTTTCCCTCTAAAACTTCACAGTGAAGTTGTCCACTTTTTCTCCGTTATTCAAGAAACGTCCCGTCTGCAAAACCCCCTTTTTTCAAAAGCTTGCTGAAGAAAGTCACAGTATCCTCCTCCTCCTTCAATGTACTTCTAGTCAGTGTGCTCACAGCGTCCCCCTCATCTTTCGTGCCCAAACCGCAGGGCCCGGCGTACGTTCTGGAGAATGAGCTTCACAAACGCGACATCTTTCTTGACTCCAAACATTCTTCTTCAAGCAGTCGTACTTTCGTCACTAAAACTATATGCGCACCATGCCTTCCCAGCAGAGCTTTTCAATCAAAACATCACTAGATGAAGTTTATTAGCTTTTACGGCATTGAAAAAGTGTTATACGACGCTTTGGTGACTAAATACAACATTTCTCACACCTGCTAGCCATTGGGCCGCTAGTCCTGATTATGTAGAAATTGCATGATGCGCCTCCGCATAGCGCTAGTTTCGCGTAAGAGGTATTTCGCTTGAAGAAATTGCGTCATTCGGGAAGACAGCGGGACAAGAATGAGGATGAAAGCTCGTACAATATAGCAGTTCCATTTACCATATGCTGTTGGTTATATTGTCTTGCTGTTTTGTTTCAGCATGAATAGTACCCCGCAAAGGAAGTGATCGGCGAGACAAGTGGGTACCAGTTAATGCTGTTCCTAGCTTCAACTTGACCAAACAAATGACTTGGCACCAATAAGTGTACAGAGGGTATAATACCGGTTGATGAACGATGTCTGGCAATCTTCCCACAAACTCTTTGTGATAGGGATCCCAGCAAGTTTCAGGGGTTAGGAACGAGAAGTCTTCTGAGTCACCAGTTGAGGGTGTGCCAGTATTGTCGGCACTTCTCTACATCATATCGCTTTGCCTGTCTCTCACTGATTAAGTACGTAAGGGTGCCTTCATACCGCGCCGTCAGCCGCCGCTGACAGCCCGCAGCATCCGCCTGTAGCCTTCGCTGACCGTTTTTCTTGTCATAAAAGCGCAAAATCATCAGATTCTTACTACTTTGCAGTGGCGTACCGAGGGGGTAGGGGCGCCCTCCCCCCCCCCCCCCGAGAATGGGTCGCGAAATTTTTGAAAGTTACTTACATGGGTTATAAAAAGGTGCCAATGACTTGTTTATACTTGTAAATAATTGAAATAATTTTTAAAATTTTTAGTAAACTCATTTTAGCCTTATAAAAAAATTTTTTCGGGGTCGTGGCTAGGGAGCATACCAAAAAAAATTTCGGAGTGCGTGGCTGACGCCATCGAAGAAATTTTTTTGTCGCCCCCCCCCCCTCCGAGGCCGAAATCCTGGGTACGGCACTGCTACTTTGAGTGACTCGCCCACGCTTTTCATCTTCCAGGATTTTCCTTCCTGTTGCCGCCAGGTCAACAAGTTAAGTGTTAACAAGTTTACGCTTGTAGTCCATCCCGTTCAAGCATTACTCACTCCTTGGAACCAAGAAAAAACAAAAATTTGTTTACACATTGTGGGCAAAGTGATTCCGAGTCTCTCGGTTTGAGAATAAATGATATGTACCACATAAAAGAACAGACAGCAAAAAATTATTCAAAGGTGAAGGAAGCAAAGCACGCAAGAAAGAATTCAAACACCCCAGATGCGGAGGAGTAACACAGTCGCTCACAATCGTTACAGACAGGACATTGCAAAAGTGAAATGAGGGCACCAATAGGATATGCAATGTACGACAACAAAATGATGACAACAGCATCTAGTGGCTATATGAGATCAAACTGCATACTGGCGGCATTATAAAGGAAAAGCGAGGAAGATGAAAAGCGTAGGCAACTTAGACAAAAAAACTGATAGTTCTGGCTCCTAGGATAACAAAAACAGCCAGCGGCGGTTACGGGCTGCTGGCGGCTGCGGGCTGCTACGAGTTGCTAGCGGCGGCTGCCGGCGTGGTATAGGCATTCTGGAATGGACAGAAATACGATATGTGAGATCGAACTACACCCTAGCGGCAACATGAGAGAAAACGTGGAAAATGAAAAGAGGAGAACTCAAAGTAGTAGGATTATGATTTTGCGCTCCAGTAACAAAAGCGGCCAGATGCGGCTACGGGCTGCTACGGGCTGCTACGGGCTGCTACGGGCTGTTAGTGGCGGCTGCCGGCGCGGTATGAAGGGACCCTATGTGATCGTCCACGTCCAGCTGCAATGGGTGACCAAATGAATCGTCCCAGAGACGAAACGATGGCGGTGGTGGCTCTGCCCATCGACGTGAGCGGTCTGAGCACTAGGCAGGAGTACTAAAATCACTATTCTCTTATCACTTGAATGGTGCGACTTTCAATAAATCTCGGCATGATAGTAATATTTTGTTCTTTCTTCTTAAGCCATACACGAGATTGGTAAACGTCGATTTATTTGATCCACGGCTAACGTTTCGGCAGATCGCCTTCGTCAGAGCCTGTAAGGGACAATACGATTTGCACCCAATTCGAACCGGCACCTCCACAGCTGAACAGACGAAATGCTAGACCTCGTTTTCGATCACTAGTTCAGCTGCACGGTCAAGCACGTACCCTTTGGATTACGCCGATACTCCTCTTCAGAGGAAAAGTTGGGTCACGTCGTTCGGTGATAGAGAAAGTTTGACTTGTTAGACGTGCATGCAGACCGCTACTTATATACTACCAGATCAGAATAACTGATCTAGATAAGGAGAAAGTTCATGCGTAATCGCTAGGTGTTCCTCTTTTCGGTTCATTCTTGGGTTTCTGGCATGAATCCAGTGGCCGTATTCATCAACGAACCTTGAGGTTAAATTCTACCTTGAGAACATGCCTCAAGGTAAAATTTAACCTTAAGGTAACTTTGCTATTCACAAAACTACTTTGAGGTTAAAATCTACCTGGTAGTCAGCAGGGTATTCACTGACGTTTATTCGGAACATGCCATGACGTAATAGCGGCGTATGAAATCCTACTGATTTTCCATTGCCAAGTTGATATTGCCGTATGTCTTGTAGGTTCACGTTACAATGTTTTGGCAGGAAAACATTCTAAGAACCAAGTAAACATGTTTCAACATGGTTGGACGTGGCAATTAATATACAAGGCGTCTCAAAAGTAACACACTTTTTAATCGTTAATATCTCTCCTCCCACATAGTCTTTTGGTTAGTTAAGCGCCATTCAGTAGAGCAGGCTTTAACTCAGATTCGTAGTATGGAGATAAACACCTGTAGCTCTTCGTTGCTGTAGAATTATGATAGAATTTTGGGGAGGGTTTTGAACAGTTAACGGCTACAGTTTGGCCCAAAATGGGTACTCATCAAGCTAAAATCTTTATCACCAGAACAAACAGAGTCGCTGATCATGAATGTGAAGATCAGAATTTAAAGAAAGGCTTTTTTCTTAAGTTATGTTATGTTAACCGCAATAACCTTTCTACAGTGCCGAAAACCTGATCAAACTGGAACGGTAAAAACGCTCAGCAAGGCTGTCTAATAGAATTAGCAATTTCGAAAACACTGCTACACAACTTTCCGACTTTTGAAGCCTTTTTGGATGGCCTATATCAAAATTACAGAATCAAAGTGGCGCTGTGGCTGAAAGTCCTTACTGATTTTAAAGCAATCAAGAGCGATTCGTACCACACTACAAATCTAAGATGTGGCCTGCTTTATTGAATGTATTGCAGCTAAGCAAAATGCTTTCTAAAAAGAGTGTTATTAACGATCAAAGAGTGTAAGGCTACGCTTCATGGTTATTAGAGTGTAAGCAGCGTTGAGATAGAGCTCTACCATAAGAACCGCACTTACCTCAAGTACAGCCGTGAAGTTACATAAGTTTTCCCAAAGTTTCGCATAATTCGGTTTTACACTTGCACTGTAGTATATACAGCGTGTCCCAAAAAAATGTATCGAACGTTTGATCGTTAATATCTCTCTTCTAAAGAAGTCTTTCCTCTTGCTTCAGGCATCAATCTGTAGAGCTGGCTTCAACTTAGATTTGCATTATAGAACGAATCACTCATTTCTCTTCATTACTGTAGGATTACGGTAGAAACATCAAAGAAGGTTTTAAGCAATGAAAGGCCATATTTTGCCTCAGAAAGGAAATAAAACAGCCTGAAAGCTTTTACACTAGGCTAA